TTTGAAAAAATCTCATCAGATTCTATCTTAAGTACATTATTTGCCTTTTTCATTACACAATTAAATATTAGTATTTTGTGCTTAATGTACAGTTCATAAAATATCTTTCTTTTGAGCTAAATAACTTATAATACCTGTGTCTCATTTCAAAAATGATGAAGTTGATTAATTTTTAGCAATAGTTAATCAAGTAAAATAAGTTTTGTGTGAGTGAAAGAGTTGCATAAATTTTTGTTTCATCTGATTTAATTATATCTAAACTTTGTTAAACTCATTTAATTTTGTATATCCCCCATCAACATATTTGAGTCCTTACTGGACATGTACAAGTGTAATGAAGCCTTTGTAAATTGTTGTAACTAGACTTACAGAAAATTGGAGTTGCTCTTAAATATTTGCTATAACCATAAATTAGTTGTCACATCAGCTTTACCTGTATCATGTGCTCTAGATGTCCCAGTATGTGATGGACCCAAGCTGTGTGTATGGTTGTCTGACTTAAAGCCAGTCTTCACATTACACAAAGATGGCAAACAAAGCAACTTAACAATTGTAATAATTTTTTTTAAAGTCTTGGTTCCTTATTTTATTATATTATTATTATTGAACATTAATATTTTCCATTTTCAAATGAGCTGGGGGTTTTTATTTTGAAAAAAAAACAACAACATAATTTTAATATCGAAAACAATTTTTATAATTTAGATATTTAAAATTATGCTGAATTTAAAAATGTTTTCAAGTTTATTTCACAATAGGAATTGACAAGGAAAAAAAAATTATTGGATAATAATCACTCAAAGAAGAATTATTACTGTCATTGATAAATGTCAGAGAAGCTCAGTTTCAAATCATTCAAACAATGATCTCACATAAATGAAAATGTGGACACTTGTAAGAGAGGTTATCTATGAATCCATAAAGATACATATTAGACTCATGTTTTAAATAAGCGCCTATCATTTCTGGTGACTTCAGATACTGTGACCGCTGTAGTACATCTTTCTTTGTCGTCCTATGTTTTGTTTCCTGTAAATCAAGATGTTTTGTGTTTATGCATTGGCTCCCAGTCGATAAGTGTCTGTACCTTTCAAGGAAAGTAACTGCATTATAAATGTACTAAATGTTTAAATTATTTACTGAACGTCTGAAATAATCAATATGAGGAATGCTGTTTTTCATGCACTCAAAGGGGAAATGGAGCCTTTAAGAGAAAATTCTTGGAAAGTCAATGGCGACTGATGTTTGTTTTTTTTTCTAAATTTTATAATGTCACATTTGGAGACAAAATCTATGTAGTACCATCTTAAGGTATGAGCAAACTGGGCAGTTAGCCAGGGCCTCATGCTTCAAGTTGAATCAAGCTTCTCATATTGTTAATGAATATTGAACTATCTTTTTGGCAATTTAATTTGTTTCAAATTTCAGGCTTTTTTAATTTTCAAATCAATTCCATTTTTTTTTTGTACATGTAATATTATTGGAAAAATGTGTCTTTTTAAAAAAAATTTAATCCAGGGATTTTGGAAAGAAAAAAAAAAGGGGGGGAGGTGTGTTTGTGTTAAAATAAACCACTGAGTGACAGTACCAGCAACTTTTTATCTCAACCAAAAGAAAGCACTAGATTTTAGCCATTAGAAAATTATTTTCTTTAACTTTAAAAATATGAGTTTCCTATAGTTTGCATATATAATATATTAGATTGAACTATAGAGATTCCAAGGGTGAAATTAAGCTGGGGCCCAAAGCATATATTGGGGGTGGGGTTGGGGTTGCATGGCTGGGACAATGGGGTCAGAGCTGGGCTTGGGCAACATAGATGCCCTGCCCCTTTCCAATGAAATGGTCTGGAAAAAACTGTAGTAACAACACATGGGTCAAACTGGGCCCCAAATCCTTATTATTACATTACTTGCATAGGTTAGTAAGGTATAACTTTGCCCAGGGTCTCCGATGCCGTAAAGACAGTTCTGAATATATGTCATTTAGATCACTTAAGTCTAGAAGCTCTAGACCATTCTAACAATGTAAAATTCCTATTGCACAAGCCGCCTGAGCAGGTTTAATAGATTTAAAATTTTGAGCAAATATAGGCCTAATTATTATAAGTTTTTTAAAGTAGAAAGACCTCCTTACATTCCTCCACATCTACCATTAATTTAAGGGTCAAATTTAGGGTAATTTTTATTGCAAAAATAATTAGAGCAGCTGTGCATTGGGACAACTTGGAAAGTTTTCAAATTAGTTAAATAAAAGCCATGATAATAAGCATCGTGGCTAGGCTCTCATGATTTTTCTTATTAGAAATACTACTAAGCACAAAACGAAGAGTGAGATAAAGTAAGGGTATGTTAAGAGATAGTGAAGGGATTCCTGTGCCTTTATTATTAAACATAAAGCAATGCCATGCTTAGTTTTGATTTTTTTTTTTCCTTCAGTTTTTAGTAAAAGAATAAGGACTTATATAAATAATATGGAATTAACTGAAAGTCATGGTTACAATATTGCTGTATAGATTACATTTACAGGGCAATATTTATATTTTTAAATATTTTAAATTCTTTTCTCATACAATTTATTAATTATTTTTTATTTATTCAGCTTAACGCTGCAGCTTAGTGCTGCCCAAAGTTATTTTCTTTTGTTAAAAATTTTTTTATACCTACTTCTGTTTTTGAAATAGGGGCCTACAGTTAAAATAATTGTTCAGTTTCATTGGCAGAAGATGATTTTAGGATTACAAAAAAAAGTTATAAATAATTAAGTGTTTAATTTTATACATATATAGTATAATGAATGAGGTTCTAATTAAAAAAATTATATTATTTCACAGACAACTTTTCGGGCTAAATTTTCCTCTTTAACAATTCTGGCATCTTGAAGACAACTCCATGAAATGACTTTAGCCTTTTTTAAGAATTTAGTTAATTAGTTTTCAGAAAGATGTATTTTATTACTTAGTCATTTCAATTTCATAATTAGGCCCTAAAGTTGGCTTTTTTTTTTTTTTCAATTCATTTTTCAAATAGTCAAAAAGACTTCTTTAATTTAAAAAGTCAGGTCAGAGCATGGGGGAATTCTTGTTGATACGTGTGAGGACAAATTGTTCCTTCCTACATTATATCATGACATTAACATTTGATATGTGACCAATGTTGTTCTGGGGCCAGCCCATATGTCAACTTGTGTCAACAGATGGAGACTGGCCACCAGACATTGGCGGGGATCAGAGTGTTCATGTGTGGCTGATGTTTCTATTGTACTGTACATTTATTATAAAAGAAATTATTTGCAATAAAAATTAATATGATGTACACAATAAAGGGACTCACTGTTTTATCTTTTTCACTGCGTGGTTATAAATATTTGTGTCACTTCAAACACAGTTCATGCACAAATTATCATCTTTATAGTGATCATTGTTTCTAATGAGCTGTCGAGAATGTGCATTATAATTTTCTATGTCCATTAGGATATCTCTGCGTGGTGGTGTACATCACATTCAAAATATTTTGGAGTTAACGCAGTGTTCTGAGAGTTTGAGAAAAGGGGGGGGGGGGACTTGTGGTAGGTTCAGTACAAAACAAGTATCATAATAGGTTTGCAGTAATGGAACAGGAGGTAAGATAATGAGTGGTTGTTTTTTTTTAGATGTTTTTTTTCTGTATTTTAAAAAAAAAGTGTCATTTTTTAATTGCCTTTCTTTAAGCTCTAAAACTTATCATTCGTGAAGCCCTAGAAATTTCAAATCTTGGAAATCCTTCCAGCTGCCCCTCAGTGGAGGCAGACCCTAGGGGTGTTCAAAAATGTATGTGACCCCTGTGGCAGGTCTGACAAATATTAGATAAAATGGGTCAGGTGAATTTTGTTTAAACACCCCTTCCATATATATGCCTGGAAACATCTTTAAAGCAAAATAAGAGAGTGCAGGTTTAACTATTGAGTCCAAACAAGCAATTATTTTTTTTTTTTAATATTAAATGAGTGATGGTTGACTGTTCATTTATTCTTAGAATGAGTGTCGGACAACTAATGACAACCATCTTCTTCTATAGAAAAAATTGACTCCTGATAAATACTCAGCTGCACCTGAATTGACAATTTGATTCGGCCCTACTGTGTCTACATTGACCATTTGATTCGGTCCCACTTTCCCTACATTGACCATTTGATTGGCCCCACTGTGTCTAACACAACACGATGTAACAAAATGATAAACCATCCGCTCCACCCCCCCCCCCNCTAGTCAGAAATATTAGTAAAGGGTCGTCCATTAATTACGTCAAAAATTTGCCTCCAATTTTGACCCCCTCCCCCCCCTTGTCAACAACTGTCAAACTTTCGATGACCCAACTATTTATTTAAGTCAACATTTTATAACCCCCCCCCCCCCACTAAAAGGAATTATAATATTAATAAATTTATAAATACATTTTACTTTGTGCTCATGTATTTAATAATAATACAAATTGTCCGAAAAACATTTTATTACATCTTTAGCTTTATAATCAAAAGTTTAATTAAAAGTTTGTTAAAGACTAAATATAATTGTTTGTGGAAGTATAAATATGATTATTTTCAGTATAGCTGACAATTATAGTATAGTTTCTAGCTGCTATTATTTTCCCATGGAGTAGCCAGGTGTTGCTCTAGCGTAACAATGGGTATCAGGAACATCATTTGGGTGGGGCATGGGGGCATTTGCCCCCCCCCCCCTTGGGGGGGGGGGGGGGGGTTTTTCCCCCCCCCCCCCCCCGACCTTGTTTTCTTTTGTTGTTGTTTTTTGTGGTTTTTTTAAATTTAGTATACGTTAACGACTCAATAAATATAAATAAAGCACAGAGTTAAAATCAGGGTTTCTTTCAGCTATATCTCCGGAAGGGGGGGGGGGCACCAAGTGACCCCCCCCCTTCCGGAACTAAAATATGTCCAACAATAAAACAACTGGCACTGCAACCACCCCCACCCCAGATATGGGTAGATAAAGTAGGCCTTTTTGTCAGGCATTATCCTAATGGTTTTTATGGCCATTTTAGGGCAATAATTATTATTATTCCTTTTAAAAAATTTAATTTACCGGTAATTAAATAATGTAAAAAGTAAAGGCAAAGGTGGGCTAAGCAAGTTAATAATTAATTATGATAATGGTATTTTAAAATACGTTCATCTACTGTCCAAACTGATTTCAAGCACCAAGTCCATGATTTATTATTTATTTATTGTTGTTATTATTTTAAATTTTGTTTAATGTATTGTTTCAATAACATTTTGTATTTTAGTTTAAGTAAAGTTATCTTTCCAATTTAGTAACTCTCTTCCATTGGAGGTATTTGTTTACAAATGGTTGCCATCCATGGTAACTAAGATTATCGTTGAGCGTAAGTTAAATGTAAGTTTAATTTTTACGTGATAGTTTTTTTTTTGTATTTATTGTTTTATCTTAAAGGTTCAAAATTTAAAATGAATTCAAATGGATATTTTAGGGGTTTTGTACACATTTATTTAAATACGGTAATCAAAACAGCGTAGCCGTAGCGTTGGACCGACATTAAATTTAAAAAATTTTAAAATCATTCATTTATTAGTTTTTAGTTTTTAGGCTGTTATTAAAGTATTGGTTATTGAAAAGTTACTGTTTATTCTGAGTTTATACTATTACTATGAATGTCATGTCAATATGTGTAGTATGAGTAGGCGTACGGCTACAGACAGTGACAGTCATTTTAATTTTGCGATCCTATTCAATTTATTCATTCACTTTCACCATTCATTGACATTTGTCATCCATTGTTGGCCTTTCCTTATTTATCATTGACCTTACATTAAGAATAGTATAGTATAGTATGGAGTTTAAGTTTAATACTTTAGAATAGCAAGTTGAGTTGCTTTCAATGTTCAATCTGAGTGGATGGGAGAGGGTATAACTATAACTCTCCCTGCCTCCCTCTAACTTTTAAATTTCCAGAGGTAACAAAATTAATTTAGAAAACAATACATTTACATTTACTCAATATTTTGTTTTATATTTTTTTATTATTTGCTTAGTTTAGTGGGGATTTGGGTTAAGTGGGGGGGGGGGGTTGGACATGTGATTTGACAACACAGCCATTTCCCGTGTATTATAGTTCATAGTCATAGTCCTACTCTCAGTAAAATAAATAATACTAGTGGCTAATGGTATTAATGTATTTCATTACTAATACTAAATCTCAGGAGTGTCCAAAGACACTTAAGTATTTAATTTAAAAGTTTAATAATAAAAGCTTTAAAAAATCTATTAGCCAATGGCCTAAGTGCTAGGGCTAGGGCTACTAAAACTGACTCAGCTGTGTCTCGTCTAACTCTAGTCTAGCTACTAACAGGGTTTGTTTACTTATTAAATTGTGGGGCTCACATTTTATTAGTTATTTTATTAGTATGTTTGGTGGCACTCCTCAGAAGGGAAGTCCCAAATTAAAAATATAATACTCTGTTAGACAGTGTCTGGCTACCAGCCTTATAGCTGCCGATAATTGGTGACTTAAGACTTAAGGTGGTCCATGGGTAAAAAAAAATTTCTGTTTCTTATTAATTGCCAAAAAAAATTTTTACTACATACTATCTGTACACTAATAAAAATATGAAAAAACACAAAAGTTTAATTTGAAAAAAAATTTTTTGACTTTTATTGCAAAAAAATTAATTATAATTTTGTACCAATTTTTACTGTTACGCAAAAGTTATTGAAGATAAGAAGTTTTACAATATCGCAATGAAACTTTGCACACTGATAAATAATAACATTGTTAAAAGAATAATACAGGCTCACTGCATTATAATGGTAGGAAAAGCTGTAAATGACATGTATGCGGGGTCACTGAAAAATTTGGCAAAATTTTGGGGGTAGCCGAGGTAAAAAAATCATTTAAAAAAATTGATTGTATAGATATAAATAAGTATGTATGTACAAGTAGAGAATATCAATGGAAAGAAGCATGCAAAGTTTGAAGTCTGTAGATGTAATACTTTTCCTTCTGACACATTTGACATTCCTCAAAAATGTTAGACACGCAAAGTGGAGAAAAACAAAAAAGAAGTTTTAAAATGTTGTTTTAAAAAATTACTTGCCTTATCGAATGCATAATCCATGAACATATACCAATCATGAATGAAAAAGCAATATAAAAATTTAGATAGAACAGATAGTAAATAAATTAGCTTATTTTTTCAAACATCATCCCCTGTAACTAATAAAAATTTTATAATAAATACAAAATTCTGAAATTTTCTCTATGCTACATGTGTTAAAAGACATCTATTATTATGTAAACAATATCAATAGAAATTAGTGTGCAATATTTGAAGTAGGTGGCTACAACACTGCCCCTCCTGAAACATCTGACGTCGAAAAAAAATGAAAAGTTGAGAAAAATGAAAATGACGTTGATTATTGATAATTTTAAAAAATTGCATGCTTTACGAACAATACAGAATGCATAATCCTTCTACTTCTTCTATATCTTAAGGGCCCACGATCAATTTATTGATCATTTTGGCTCCTATGCATGTAGATGGGATTTGCAATGTTTCTGTTCCTGGTGTTGATGAGGAAATTTCACTGATTTCTAGTGCCACTTTGTGAGGGAATCATGCACTAGGGGTTGGAAGGCTTGAGGCAATAGACACAAATGTGTCTAGTGTTTTCGCCTCAACCGTTCCTTTTGAAAGATTGTTCCAGTCCCTGATTGTCTTGGGCAGAAATGAGCAGCTCCCATACTGGCTTCTTGCTGGTATGAGCCTGAATTGCCTGTCATGGCCTTGTCGCTGTCTATGGGGGAGAGGACGAGTTTCTGTTTAATCCATGCACATATACTAATCATGAATGAAAAAACAATTTAAAAACACAGTTATAAAAGATAAAAAATTAATAAAGTCGTGTTTTCAAAATACCAACCCCCGTCCCAAATTAAAATATTATGAAAAACAAAAAATAATTTAAAAATCCCTTCAGGACAGATCTTATAGAAGGAGGTGTTATTATGTAGATAATATCAATGGTAAAAAGCATGGAAAGTTTGAAGCCTGTAGCTATAATACTTTTCCTCATGATGCATTTGGCATTCCTGAAAATCTGAAAAACGCAATTTGCAAAAAACAAAAAATTTTTTTAAAATTAAAGACTACTTATTGAACAATATTGGATGCATATACCATGTACATATACTATTCGTAAATGAAAAAACAATATAAAAACACAGATATAAAAGATAGAAAGTAAATAAAGTCATGTTTTTAAAATCAACCCCTTGTCCTAAATGATAATATAAAAAATTCTGGAAAAATCTCTCATGTGAGGTATGAAGATATAACGGTGTCCCTCCTGAGTGAGCCAACTCCAAACATAGGACACATCAATGTCTACTACCTCTGCAACTTATCCTTGTAGGTTGGTAGTGTAGCATTTTGGTAGATCGTCTTTTGGTGAATGTTTAGTAAATTGATTATTTGGAAAAACTTCTCCATACCAGCATGCCCCAATCCAGTCAAATTTACAGATAATTTTGAAAGCTGGCGGTGAAGCTAGTGCAGAGGCTGGCAGTGAAGTTGGCGCTAGCCTGGCTTTCTCTAGTTGCTTGGACTTGGATCTCTTGGTCTTGGGGGCAGTGATTTTCTGTATTATGAAAAAAAATGTTTTTATTAGCTTTTGAAACATAAAATTGTATTAGTCTTAGCAATTAGCCCCTAGTTAGCGAGGCAAATGTAAATAGAATCAGTACTATATATTTTTTTGTATCTAACGAAATGGTAAGATTTCTACTATTATTACATTATTACTATTTGTTTTAATTTTATTTTTAATACAAATTAGGAAATCCTAGACTCTAGGCCTATTCAAATTTTTCATTCATTTACATTTATCATTATTACTAATATTACCATCTCATAAATTTTGTCATTGACAACGAAATACAAATCGAAAATATCACACCAAATTAGACACGTGTAAGGACACAAACGTAAAGAAAAATGATAATGAATGTATTGTAATATTTTTTGTATTACAATTTTGTATATTTAGGCATAAAGTAGCTTTCAATTGGATTCATAAACCTATGCTCATTACATTTTTACTACATAACTGCGTATATTGCTGTTTCGTAAAATAATACTAGTACTAGTAAGAAGGCTATTCTGAGGAGTGTCTGTTTGGCATCCTATCCCTTCTGCAATTAACAAAAATAGCAAGCTGCTTTACCGACTTGACTCAGCAAACAACCCTGATTTGGTATAAGAAAACAATTAGTTGACTTATGTTTGTACTATACAATGTTATAAAGGCTATAATATTTGAAGGGCTAAAAAAAAATTGCGCAATTCATTTTTGAAATTTCATTTTTAAAGTTTACTTTGAAAAAGTGTGCGAGAATGGTTGGGGAGGGGGGTGTTAATTGTTCAGATACAATTGAACTAATGTATCTATATAAATATAATATTTAAGTTAAGATATCAATGATTTGCATTAATTATCGAAAAAAAATAATGTCTAATATCTGAGATAATGGTTACTTTTTTTTAAAAAAATCAGTTAATAAATAATATTGGTAATAATACATTATTATGATCACTTTGTTAAAGGATAAATGCTTACTAATTTTTTAGGGTATATTAAAGAATATTAGGTATCTAATTCATTTTTTAATATAGTTCACTCTGTATTTCCCAAGCCAAAAGTGACTTGTAGGCTACTGTCTCTTAACACTCTATGTGGCAGAGGGTTCTATTAGAAGTGGGCAAAAAGTGCAAAAGAAGTGAAGTGGGGGAGTAAAAATATACAACTAAAAGGCTGCAATTTTATAAAAATCCTGAAAAGGTTATGGAAACACTCATTACACTTATTAGGCCTTCATTAATTTTTAAGCTAAAATTTTGAACAAGATTTTTAGGATATGTTTATTATACTTAATTTGTTATTTATCAGTTTTATAATAATTTATCACTTTTTTATTGCAATTTCACATTATTTTCAGGTTTCAGTGGGAATTTTAACTTTTGCCCTTTTAATCTTTCATTTATTTCAAGCTCTTTTGAAGCAAGCATACATCCTGAACAATGGGAACAATGAATTTAGGATATGAGTTGCTTCAAAGCAGTCACCCAAAACCTAAAGAATGTCTTGATTTTACCCCTGACCGCATGATGCCCGTTTCCACAATGCATCGAATGGCCCTAAAAGCTCAAGAAAATATCATCTTACTAATGAACAACACTCGAATGCTCACCAGACATCATCGTTTGGCTAGCATGAATGATGTTCTTGTGTATCTAACTGTAAGTTTGTTCATATCAGATGTCTTTAACATTAAAATTTACAGATAAATAAATATTTTCATTTTTGTAGTAGTAGTTTTAAAAAGATATAAATCACAAACTATGTAAATTTTCACTTGATCCTGCTATGGATTGTTTGTTCAGTCCACAACAGGTAATTCAAAAGTAAATTATTATTTTTAAAACATATTTTCTTTTAATAAATGGTTTAAATTTAAATTTGTGAATCGCTTGTTAAATTTAGATTTGCTAAGGGTATAATTTATATAATTTATTGCACTTACAGGCCTTACAATGTTTTTTTTGGCTCTCAGTGTAAAAATAATTGTGTTGACATGTATTATGATTCTTTCTTCCAGTCCCTGTTTCTGAAATGGGATAATGCTTATAGGCTTCAAATAAATTACAGCATTTATAAAAATAAGTATGCCTGGTCTTAACTAACCTATAGCATTTACATTTTACCATAAAAAAACAAATTGCAATCAGTAACTCATATATGTATTTTGTCAGGGAAATCATGAAGATCAAGGCATGCCAGGGGACAGGGGAGATTTTTACAGGAGGAAATTGGCAGAACAACTCTATCTGCATTATGCTATCCAAAACATTGATCACACAAATGTGTTAACTTTGGTTGAAGGCTTACTACGCCTGGAACAAGACTGTCGCAAAATCCTGTCCAGTCTAGCCTGTCATCGTTCAGAGGCACCTCCCATCAATGTAGATGGACAGATTTTAAACGTCATTGCCCGCCTGGCAAATATCCAATAAAATTATTATTTGTATATTGAACTTGCCCAATAAATTGAAAATAAGATCATGTAATGAATCATTAGCTGCTTTGCTTAAAAACACAATCCAATGCATAAATTCATCATAATTGATCATGTTTACAATTATCTTAAAAGATAATGATTTTATTTCTCCAAAATTTTAAATTTTCCTGGTAGTTTTAAAAAGATATAAATCACAAACTATGTAAATTTTCATTTTTTTTACTTGATCCTGCTATGGATTGTTCGTTCAGTATACAACAGGTAATTCAAAAAGTAAATTTTTATTTTTAAAATATATTTTTCTTTTAATTAACGGTTTAAATTGTAGATAAAAAGATTTCACTTTATTTCTTGACATTAAATTATAGAAATTCTGATTAATAGTACTGGTGTAATAATCTGCTTTGGCTATTTCTGCAGTATATTACTATAAACAACTTTGTTGTTCCTGAAAAATAGATTTTAAAAACAAATAGATATTAAAGATTATAAAATTGTTTAATTTCTTATTTGTATAGAATGGGTACTGTGTGATACTAAGATCTACAATAAAGACTTAAATCATGTGACTTTTTCATTTTTTTAAATCTTTCAAATTGTTTTATCAAACAATATTTAACAAGAAACTTGGTCAGTGGATTATTTTACAAATTATTTTTGCTATTCACATTCAACTAAAAGAAAAATAAATTGGCCCCGGAAACAGGGCATACTTCAATAGTAAAAATGAATGCTGAAAAGTAAAACTATTAAAAAGAAAAACAAAGAAAACTGTATATAATACTGTAATCAGACCAGTTGGAACAAATGCAATTGAAAATTGGACCCTAACAAAATCAGCAGAAAACTTATTAAACACAAGGGAGTGAACAGTAGAACAGTTCTCCGGAAAATATATTTTAACAAACAACAACAAAAAAAAGTACAACGTCACAATTCATTCAATTATTGGCTGGTTCCCTACACATCAAATCATCACAGTTCTTAAATACGTTTAACTACTGGCATTCAGTTAATTTGTTTTTGTTCTTGTCATTGTTGTTATACTGTGGACTTATTTTAACGAAAAATAAATTGGTAGTGGAAGTCGGGGGGGTTGAAACCATGTGTTACCTGCACCGGGTGACAATAACGCTAGCTACGCCACTGTATAAGTTAATGTATGGGTTAAAATCGTGACCTAAGAGGGTAGGTATTGTCACAAATGACTCGGGTGGGGATATAGGAAAGAGCTCAGTTGTAATCAGTGCGTAAAGGTTTTGTTTTGTTCGGGACTTCCCTATGGGTCGCACCACGTTGGATAGATCATGAATGAGCGGTTGGGGACACTTCCGGCAGGGGAGAGAGGATATTAGATGCTTTTGAAAAGGTAATATTTTCTTCGATAGACTTAGATTTAATTGTTGTTACATCAAGAAATGAATACATATATATAATTCATACACCTGGAGTTGGAGTTTTTACGTTGTGCTTCTGTCTGTCCCAACGCCTAGACACCCACAATATAATCACAGAGAGGAGCGGTCCAATATTAATATAGTTTGTTAAATGTCAGGACCGGAGCCCTCCTCCGCAACAACCGTTCTGTGACAGGTATCTTCGGTGGCGTACCTGAAGGGGTGCGATGGAGAAAACGCCCTTGGTGGCAATTTTGTTAATGTTTATTAACATCATAATATAATAGCTGTGTGTGTTGGGGCGCAATTTTTAGAGTCCGCTCCAGGTGGCATTTAATCAAGGTACGGAATAGCTGTCATCCAAGTTCTGGGAAGACACATTGTGTATGTCAGTATGTGGATATTTGAGGAGAGAAAGACTATTCGCCCACCAAAGTAGGCGACGCCAATAAAATGTCAAGACATAAGCCTAAGCCTTTAATGGAATATTTATTATGCTAGTTAGGGGCGCCAAAATGTGCTTTGATATTATTTTATTGATGAAAATCATTGGCTTGAGAGTTGAAAAAAAGAAAAATGGGCGCTTTAAAATGGATCTTGTACCCGGGTGCGAATCTTGTCCCCTGGCGCCAAACGCCCTCGCTACGCCTCTGCCGAAAATCAACCGAAAGTTAACTTTACTGTTTAGGCCAAAAACGCAACTACGCCGAAAGTGATTTAGCCTTTATCAAATTGCATCTAAAATCTTAGAGACTAGATTTTCATGATCCCTATAGCCTATGTTGTGCTGTAGCGTAGCAAGGAGGTGCGGATTTATGGGGGGGGGGGGAGGGGGCGTCGGCCCCGAGTGGCACTATTTTCTTTTTCCTAATCGATGACATAATAAAAAAAACTAAAGACCTTTTTTCGTGGGTGGAATTGACAAAAAGCTTGGCCTTTCAAGGGCTGATCCCTATAGCCTATGTTGTGCTGTAGCGTAGCAAGGAGGTGCGGATTTATGGGGGGGGGGAGGGGGCGTCGGCCCCGAGTGGCACTATTTTCTTTTTCCTAATCGATGACATAATAAAAAAAACTACAGACCTTTTTTCGTGGATGGAATTGACAAAAAGCTTGGCCTGTCAAGGGCGCCACCAACCGTAGCTACGCCTCTGATGTTCTCACCATATAATGGGTTATTACTCTATACGTTTTTGCCTTTATGTCCTAAAATCGGTTATTTAAAGCCCAGTATACTGGTAAAACTGAATGAAATCATGTGTGTCTATGAGCGTATCCGGAAATTTGATCGAAAGAAATCTCGTCGACGGTAAATTGATCGAAGGTAATTTGATCGAACGGTCGATCAAATTACCCTCGATCAATTTACCGTCGACGATGCTACTTTCGATTAAATTTCCGGCAACCATCTATGAGCAGGTAGAAGAGTGGGACAACGGTGTTGGTAGAGGAGTGGGGCAACATAGTAGGTAGAAGAGTGGGGGAAAGATAGCTGTAAAAAAATTGAGGCATCGGTTGTAAAAGAGTGGGGCAACATGGCTGTATTAGAGTGGGGCAACATAGATGTAAGTGAGTGGGAAACATAGCTGGTAGAAGTGGGGCAACAGAGCTGGTAGAAGTGGGGCTTCATAGCAGGTAAAAGAGTAAGGCAGTATAGCCGATCGACTAGGGTATGTGTCTTACTCTTTGTGTGAATCAATGAGACAGTGCTGAGTTCAGAATCAACCAATAATAGTGACAGTAACAATAAGATTCTTTTCATTGAGTGTGATCAGTTGATAGCGTATGCAAAATCGTGGGAGGCCAATGTTCGTTGTTTCATCCCAGTAAGTGGGTCAAAATGAACATAAATATACAAGATTTGACAACACACAAACTAACAAACCGACAGAGCAACCCTAAGAAAAAATCATACGACATTATTGTATACCATGGTCCAGGGTGGCCCCACCCTTTTTTTTTTCAAATCGTATGACTGCAACCATGGGCGCCCGCAGAAAACTTTCTGGGGGGGGGGGGGACAAAAAATCGATTAACTTTCCAGGGGGGGGGCAAACAATTTTAGTAAGGCTTTAATGTAATTTTAATTTATTATGGTGAACGAACGGACAGCTTAGTTACTTTCTCTTTATTTTCTCTTTACTTTAATACATTTTTTGTCTAAAAATTTGTTATCCTATCAATACAAGGGGGGGTGGGGGGAAATCGCCCCCCCTCTCCGCGGGCGCCCATGACTGCAACTGTAACAGCTCCGAAGTTTTTTTGTGTTTTTTTTCTGGGGGGGGGGGGGGGGGGGCGTTTATTTTTTTTTTTTTGGGGAAATTTTTGGGGAAGGGGTTTTTTTTTTTTTTTTATGTGATTTTTTTGGAAGAGGTTTTTTTTTTTTTTTTTAAAGTAATTTTATAATATAAAAATGATAATTATATATTTGAACTTTTTATTCCAAGTCAGCCAAGCGTACCAAGTTTCAGCTCAATTTGAGCTCAGGAAGAGGGTCAAAATTGATATGCAAGATTTGACCCACATAAATAAGTCACTAAGGGTCAGGGGTAGGTCCCTGGTGACTTTCTGATTATCGCTATAGTAAGGTTGTATTGTCACCGGAGTCACCTGGAGTGAGTAACCATGACCATGCACGATAAATTTTAAGTCCATCAGGCGAAGGGAACACGTTAAAAATTGAGTTACGATTACAAAATTTTACCCAGACAGACAAAATCGCGAGCTCAAGGAAAGCGTGCATTAAGATTTAGCACGCACCGAGTTCCGTGACGCTGGTAACCAGCCACACAGTTCAGCATCAGTTCACGAGCAGTTGGGTGTGAAGATTTTCGTTCGTCTGTTGGGTGAACGGCGGTGCTCGTACAAGTAGCTTAGTCTTAAAACATTCTTATCATTTGTGAATCGTAAATTTAAGGGTCTGTTCTGTTTTTTTTTTCTTCGGGATACTTTACTGTCATTATATTTAGTGGCTATTACATGACTATATTAATGTCAGTGTGACTGAGTGTGATGACGGTTCTGAGGAAGACATGAAACGAAAGCTATAGTATTATTATTAGTAGTAGTGATTGTAAGTCTTTAGTAGTATAGTCGGTTTAGCACTAAGACTAAAAAGGTAGAAGAGAAAAAAAAAAGTAGTTATAGCCCTAACTTGCCAAGTTCCAGACTTCATAATAGTAGTACTATTATTAACTGAGTAGCTCTGCTATACCATAATAGCAGTAAGTAGTAGGCAATAATTTAGACTAGATCTAAAAGATTGTTTGCGGGTATTTGCAAGGATACTTATTTATAAGTTATTTTAAATATCCAAGTTAAAAGATAAAACCATTTCTTCAATATCGATTAGATTTTGATGGCGCATTCTAGTGCATTGAAGTGTGTTCTCCGCCGTGCCTCTTATTCGTGTTTTGGTGGTGTTGCTAGACGTGGAGTTGATGTGGCAAACCAAACAAGATGCTCAATTTTATCGCCGCATCATTACAAGGTATTTATTTTCTCTCATTGGAAACTGTGAACCAACCAATTAATTAATTATTTACCCGTTGAAATTTCATGAATGATTGGATGCTAGTAATAAAAATAAAATAGCACGCAAATAAACAACGCTAAGAAAATGCTTGTTTGTGTGGTGTAGACAGACGTTTTTAATTGTTTATCAAGTGTTGACAAATATTTTGTCATTTATTAACAACCTTGGTGTATCTCTAGCTTTTGCATTTGACAATTTATTTGCAAAATATGTTTATTTTCAAACGGGTGGGGTGGTAGAGAAAAAAAAACAACACTATTACTAATTACTATTTAATTTTCTACTTGAAACCAACCATGAAGGTGAAGGTTGGCAAACATAAACTTGAACTCCAAGGTTAAGATCAGTTGTGCGCATTCGCTTATAACTTTAGGTGACCAAATAATTATAAAGTTTAAGATAGTTTCAAACAATAACAAACATTACTAGAAAGGAAATAACAAATAAAAATAAAAAAATAAAACAATAATGTAATGTATGAGTATGAATGTTTACTAATTACTTTTAATAATTAATTTTATGATTTTATTATAATTATAGCAAATATCAAATAGCCTTCACATTTTGTCTAAAAATAAAATTAAATGTCACATTATACTATACTATACTTAAAATAAATAAATTCTTTATACTTCTGCAATATAAAGTCTTTATAATTTAATTTAAAGGATAGTCTGATAAGCTAGATCAAAACTCTACATTTTTGCCATTTTTGGTCTACAATATTTAATACTTTTTTTGTCTAAAAGTAAAAGATCAATCATCAATGGCAGTAATCAGTCATGACTGTTAATGTCTTTTAGCGATGAATGTATTTTTAATAATAATATTTTACATCACTACCTAACTGCTGCACATTTGATCAGGCTATTTCTCTACCAGCTGTACCATTGTCCCAGCATAGGGGCCATCCATAAATGAAAATGACATCAGGGATTCTTAGATTTTTTGCAGTGCTGCATCCCCTCTCAACTTCTAAACCGTTCCCACCCCACCACCAACCCTTCGCTGTATAAAATAAATAGTAACGTTGTAACCATAGTAAAATTTTAAAATGAAAATAATTAAATTATTTAATTTTTGTCAGTTCTAGTTACAAAAAATATATTACCAATACCATTCACCAGAAATATTTTTTTACTGCTGGCAGAAACAACTAGCAAAGGCAGAAACAACTAGCAGTAGCAGCAAATAAAATATATAGTTTTTCGCACTTTCACCCTTGTTTAAGAACCACTGTTCTAGGGAAATGTTTCTAACACAGGTGCTGTAATACCATATCTATGGGAGGTGATTTTTGTAAGGGTTTGGGAAGGAAAGTTGGGGACAGATGGATTTTTTATGGGGAGTGGGTGTGTGCAAAGGTTTGTGACGTTATATTGGGGGGTGGGGTCGTCTAACTTTTTGTGAAGATTTGTAATGATTGGGAAGGGGGGAGGTAAGAAATCTGCAAAATTTGCGTCCCATACTGCCCATCCACTGACTTTGATGACAATTTACAACATTTAAAACAAAAGTGATTGTTATAGAATTATAAAATATATTGCAATTTTAGCCATTATCATTATTATGCTATGGTTTTGACATTAACTTAGTTTTTAATTTATGCATTGTGATTTCAGTAGTGAATGCTACATCACATAAATTATTAATATTAAAGAAAACTTCCTCTGCACAACAGGTTCAGTTTTCAACAAGTGCCTCCATCAATGTCAAGTTTTGCTCTACAGTTGATGAGGCCCTTGATGGTATTAGAGATGGGGACAAGTTGCTTTTGGGGGGTGAGTGCAATGTTTTTTTAGAGAAAAAATGTTTGAATTAGGTTTGTAAAAAAATTAAAAATTAATAAATATTTTGGAATTTTTAATAAATTAAAAAATCCAACTTTACCCCAAGACGCTAGGGGAAATATTCATACAAACAAACCCAACAATAGATTCTTCTTCACTCTACTAGACATGATGTGGTTGTCTCTAGGTTTCAAATATTTCTGTAGGTTTTATCTTAAAATATTATTCTGGTAACATAATATTATTATTAAAGTCGATTTATATAGCACAGTACCCTAGCCTAGGTTAATCGTGATTCACATAAGAATTAGCCAAAAGAAAAAAAGAAACATGGCATTAAAAAACAGTGACATATAATTATTCATTTAAAAACAGGCTTGTAAAAATATTGACCTCACCCACCCAAGTACTATTTACCCCTGCTTAGCCATGGACACACCCAGCAGCATCAAGCATTGTTTACTGGTGGGGGGTGGGGGGGTTGTTGAGAATGAGTCGGAATAGTAGAGGTTGAAGAGATGTGTATTGAGTGCATAAGCCTTAAGCCGGCTAGTGGTCTGTTGCTTGTGTTAAGCGGGTTTGCAAAATATTTTCAGTGCTCATCTTAATAATACAGCCACACTCAGCTATTATAAAAAATATATTGCGTTTCCATTATTTAATTATTCCTTCTTTTGTTTTCAGCTACAGGATCATTATAAAATCTTTGCCTAATTTGTATTGTGTTGCAGGATTTGGTTTGTGTGGAATTCCAGATAACTTGATAAAGGGTCTGCTAGCAAAAGGGACAAAAGATCTGGTAATAGTCAGTAACACAGCTGGGACTAGTGATTTTGGAATAGGCCTGTTACTCAAAGCACGAAGGGTACATATAATTCATACTTTCATATCAAAAAGGCTGAATTGTTTACTAAACAGTGTCTAAACTGTACTCCTGAGATTACATTTCATATATTATTTTACATCAAATAACTTATCAAAACAATACACATAGTGATATCAAGTGAGTCATGTACCTTAGCTTTAGCCTTCCAGAAGAATAATTCATCACAGTGAAAACCTTGCTAGTAAATGTTAGTAAAACAAAGGCATTTCAACATCACTGCTAAATTTTCTGATTATTATACATATTGGAATGTGTACAGTGAGCCCACTGTTACTTTTTTGTAACTTTAACTGTACCTAAATATAAAAGGTTAAATGCAAACCAATCTTACTTTGGAAAGTGGGCACTGCTCACCTTTTTTTGATTGATTTGTTTTTTCAGTTTTTCTTAATTTATCTAGATTATAAACATTAACATTTTGTCACATTTTAATTTTTAAAAATAAATAAAAATGTTTGAATTGCCTGTTCAAAAGAAAAAAATTAGCCCCCAGATAGGGCTGATTTATATGTATTAATTGAATATTAATACTTTCTAAATGCTTTATATGTGGAGTGACTGAGATTTTCAGGTTTATCCAACCTATCTTAAGTAGCGTTATCTTAAGTTAAGCATCCAAAAAATAATTGCTTATTTAGTTTCAATTGAAAAAAATGAAATGCACAAATTTGTTTGACTGCAAAAAACTGTTCGAACATTATAAAATTCATCCATAATTTTACTACCGCTGCAGGTGAAGCGAATGATAGCTTCCTATGTTGGTGAAAACTCTGAGTTTGAGCATCAATATTTAAGTGGAGAACTAGAGGTGGAGCTCACACCACAGGTAAAAGATGAAAAGCTGAAAATTAAAAAAAAAACTATTAAAAATAGTTATGAGTGATTGAAAAGAGAATCATTGAATATCAAAATGTTCTATATTAATTCATCATCATCATATCCCTTAGTCTTTGGACTCTTGGGGCACCAAAGATGACATGAAAACTATCCCCGTCCATTCCTCTCAGTTTTCTGCACTTTGCTCAGCATCGCCTAGCTTTAGCGCGTCCAATCTTTGATGTTATTTTCCCATCTTTTTCTCTGTCTTCCTCTTCTTCTCCCTCCTCTCGTTGTGCCCTGCATGATTTCTTTGGTGAGCCTTGTTTTCTTTTCACATGGCCATATATTAATTAGGCTGACTAAATAGACAGAAACCTATTCAAGTTCAAATCTGTTTTGTGATCTAGAGGTAATTATCACTTTGATATTTTTTGTATAGGGTACTCTTGCTGAGAAGATTCGTGCAGGTGGTGCAGGTATCACAGCATTTTTTACTCCCACAGGATATGGGTCTTTAGTGCACTTGGGTGGTGAACCCATCAGATTTTCACCTGATGGATCAATACTTGAAGGCAGTAAGCCAAAGGAGGTATTTTTTTTTTTTTTTAAATGTGTTGATATTGAGGAAAATAGATTGCTCTATCAAAAGCAATAAATATTTATTTTTTTTTTAAAATATTTTTTTTAAAAATTAAAACTTTCCCTGTTGAAAGTAAAATTATTTGAAATGATTTCATCAGATTAAACTTCTTAATAATTTTAAGATCATGAACTCTCTAATAAATAAATAGGGGTTGCCTTATTTACTCTTTAGGGTCGGGTTATAAATGGAGTTGAATGTATTTTGGAAGAGGCCATCACAGGGGATTTTGCACTAGTTAAAGCCTGGAAAGCAGATAAAGCAGGAAACTTAATATTTAGGTAAACTATGGCTAATTACTACTTAATAATTTTAGTACCATTTTTAAAAATGTATTTATCTTTTCTTATTTCAGTATAACTTATGAAATATTCTAATTTTTGGGATGATCGTCATTTATTCCTTTTACATCAGGCGTTCGGCAATTAATTTTAACCCTCCCATGTGCAAGGCTGGCAACATCACTATAGCAGAAGTTGAAGAAATAGTTGAAGTTGAGGAAATTGAGCCTGAGAATATTCATGTCCCTCACATTTATGTACAGAGAGTTTACAAAGCACCTCATTCAGAGAAACGAATAGAGGTAGATTAATTTTACAAGTAATACTTAAATGCTAATTGACTGATCAATAATTTTGCTGAAAGTTAGAATAAATTAATTTCTTCCAAATATTGTAACAATTTGTAGTTAATTTATTTATTTAAAACTTCTAAAAACATAAATAGCTTTATTTAACATTTTAGTTGTGAAGATACTTTGAAAAAAGAAAAAGAAAGATAATGCAATGCTTCACTTTTAATGTCTTTTTTTTTTTTTCAAATTCATGTTAACTTTTCTGGTTTGTCACTACTCATTTCGAATTAATATTAAGGCATTATATTTGAAGAAGCAATTTCTTTAGATGTTTTAACTTTATGGTACAGGTCTGTAAAAGGTGAACTAGCTTTCACTGTTTTTTTTTACCATAGCTTGCTGTTTTAACATAGTGTTCCTGAATATAGACATGAACACTATCTTCTTTTCTCTGACTGGAAACATTTTTTATTGCATTGACCTTGTGTGTTATAATAGTAATATATGTAAAAAAAAATCCTTAAAACTTTTGAATGAAAAGAAATTGCCTTGTCATATTTCTTGTTTTTGAAACTTTTCCTTTGGATTATTTTTTTATCTCTTTATTGAAAATATATGTTCTCTTTGCCATTTCTTTACAGAAACTCCGATATATAGAGCAGAAAGAGGAAGGTCAACTAGAAGATCCAGGCTACAAGATAAGGGAGAAAATAATTAAACGAGCTGCCTGTGAATTTGAAGATGGGATGTATTGTATTCTTTTTAAAAAAAATTAAATCACCTACTGCATCATTGAAAGCCTAACTATAATGCTTTTATATATGTTAAAATTAATTTTTTTCTAAGACCAACATGTCTTGACCTTAACTTGATCTCAGTGAATCTCGGCATTGGCATACCTGTGTTGGCCAGCAACTTTGTAAAGCCAGGGATCCACGTGCACCTACAGAGTGAGAATGGTATTTTAGGTCTAGTAAGTATTTCAAGTTTCATTTATTGGTTTAAATGTAAAAATGGAATACTTTTTTTTATCATCATGCAGTCAGTAGTGGGGGTATGCTCAGAAACATAGGGCTGAAGAATTCTGACAACCTGTGGTTAAAACCTGGACAAATCGAACTATTTCCACATTATTCCACCACCCATCTGTCAAGTAAACAGAATTAACTGCCTTTTGAGTGAGTTGGGAAAGTCAAAAGCTTTTGTAGGAAAACCTGAGAGAGAAAAACCTTGGTGCGGATCCTAACCAAATAAAAGAAATATCAAGGTGAGGTTGGATTTACTGCAGCTATCATGACTAAAGCATGGTACAAAGGAAAACTGCTTTAAAATATCAGTTAAAATACATGACATTAACAGAGACCAAAATTCTAAAACTCTTAATGTAATTTCTTTATGCAAAATGTCCTCTATTTGTAGGGTCCATTCCCACACCATGGAAAGGAAGATCCAGATCTGATCAACGCAGGCAAGGAAACTGTGACTTACCTCCCTGGGGGTTCTTTCTTTGGTTCAGATGAATCTTTTGCAATGATCCGTGGGTAAAGAACTTTGAAATACTTTTTTTTTTTGCATTGTATTAACTTGCAAACTTCTGATTTGAATTTAATTTTTTGTGGTTTTGGTTAGCTGTATTTTTAAATCCTTTATATTAACTTAGCTTTTGTTCATGACTGGCTGGGTGGCAGACTACCAATCTTCAAACAGCTAATTGACCCACTTCCCATCAATCCATCAAGCTGAAACTTGGCACATAGACTCATTATCAATGACAACACATTCTATCAAATGGGAGGGGTGGGGGGGGGGGAGAAGGGGGAAGAGCATTAATTGGAATTCTTATAAAGTGCTTTAGTTGTATGCACGTTTTGTCAAATTTTCAGCCCCACCCCCCATTGCTCGATATTATATTTTATCAAGGATTTAAAGCAAAAACTTTGTTTTCAGGGGTTGTTTAATTTGTGTTTATTGCAAACTTTTGGTTATATTGCAGTTTGTAGTATGACTGGGAGATTCCTATTGAAACAATACTATTAAATAAGAATCTGTCCCATCTCACCAACTTAGTATGTATTATAATAAATTATACTTACTCTAACAGAATCAAAATATTATTCAAAGTGCACAAAGTTTCCCCAACAGTGACAACTGCAATCCTGAGACTCTTACGGCAATCATTGCTGCCTCCTTTTTCTCACGGCTAACAGTAATAACTTTTGTTGCCATCATTTGATCATGTCACTATATTATCAATCAAAGCACAAGAAAATCCATACACCAGTGAACTCAGTGGAAACTTATTTGAACAGAGATTGCCTTTTTTTTTTAAAGCTGGAAGACAGCTTTCTGCATTTATTGTCTTAATTTAGAGGGCATGTTTATATGATTATTTTATTATTTCAGAGGGCATCTGTCTATGACTATTTTGGGAGCTATGCAAGTTTCTCAGTTTGGAGATCTGGCCAATTGGATGATTCCAGTAAGCAATCTCATATATATATATGTTGCTTCTGGTGTGTCCTGCTTCTTTTTCGAAAGGGCCCTACCTCCAACTCCACGTGCTCTACATTAATTGTACTGAGTGAATAAAAAAAATTTTTGGTATAGGACTCTTTTTAGGACTGTCTATTGTTTAAAGGCCAGCAGATAAGGTGTAGGACTGTCTGTAGGCCTATTGTTTAAAGCCGGCAAATATTATAGAAAAAGAAGTTAACTCTTTTTTTGTAACATTTGGACCCACCGAGTATTTCCTCAAAACACTCAGACCCGGTGTTAAAAAAAATCTGTACCCAGTTAATATTAAACTGGAACAAACTCTAGTTTTTAAGTTTATTTAGCAATGAAAATTAAATTTTGCATTTTTTTTTAACATTAAGTTTTATAGTACAAGACTTTGTTTAATGGTTCAACTTATTACAAAATTTGAAGGTCTTTGATATATGATGCGAACTGATCTAATTATTTGGTCTTTAAATGTACAATAGGGGGAACCTTCATTTTAAAAAACTTGATGTGAAATGAAATTATTTGTAGAGATCTTGTTTATGCATCATCCCACAGGTTACACTAACAAAACAGCTTTTAACACTTCCATCACCACAACCAACCAACAGGGTCTTAAAAAAATTGTCCAAGAAGAATAGAGGCCCTTGCACTCTGAGGATTCATTTTTTCCATTATAGAAAAACTTTATAATTACAGGGCAAGAAAGTAAAAGGCATGGGAGGTGCTATGGACTTGGTCTCTAACCCAAAGACACGAGTTGTTGTCACAATGGAACACACTTCAAAGGTAAACATAATGTGAACATTCAATAGTGGGAGATTGTGAGTTTTAATATAACTGTGGGAAATCTGATCTGGCTGCAGCACTTTCAACTCCATAAAAGCTTTTCAGTGGAGCACGGGGGGCATGTTTAATTTACCAAATATATTCGTGTATAGGTCACACTTTTTCAACAACAAAAATTTGATAAAAATCAGGAATACCAACCTATCTACTCGACATCACAGGGATCTGAAGTAGACAGCAGCATATTGGTAAATCAAGCATTGTAGTATGGGCTCAAGCATAAGCGAGAGCTTGGGGGAAAACAAATTTTCCGGCCAGGAAAATGTACGTTAGGAAATGGCGTCACACGCTGTTGAGCTAGCACATACGCTCTTTATGCCCTCCCCAAAGCACCCCCAGCCCGTTATCTACTTGTCAGGACAGCCCCCTCAAAAGCTCACTCAGTTGAGTACCAATGGTGGCCACCCTAGCCCAAGGACATTTGGTCGGCCGGTGACACTGCTCTCACAGAATAGTTGACTTTCCCAGGAGTCGAGATAGTGTATTTATATCCTAAAATCTTCCCCCACCCATCCTGGGGAAGCGTCAGGTGCCCTCTTATAGCGATTTCTACAGTGGGTTTCTACCTCGCAACTAATTTACAAGGCATCTGGGAAGAAATATTTGCCTAGGAACAGCTACCTCAAATGCTGTGTAAATAGAATCATTGGCATGAGGTTGTTACACCAACTTCACCTCATATCCTTCAATGGCAATATGTAATCATGATCCCTACCCTGTTTCTGCAGATTTTCCACAGCTGTTAGCCCTGTAGAAGCTACTATTTTTGGCAGATACCATGCATGTCCCTTGTCTGCCAACACATGCTCATGCAATGGTGGTTTCGTTCCCCGGGTAGCGCCAGGGGGTCAGTAGCAGGGCCTCTTTAATCAGCAAGCGACTACAGAGTTGTCATCCAGAGTCCCAGCTATGAAATATTTTGATTTATTTATCACATATAAAATATACTAATGAAATATGTTTTCATTTAATCATAATTTATCACAACATCAGAAAGGAAAGCCAAAGATCCTAAAAGAGTGCACTTTTCCTTTGACTGCCCAGAAATGTGTGGACATGATTATCACAAACATGGTAAACTGCATATCTGAAAGATAGATTTTATTGCTTTTTTATTTACTCAGTAACAATTTTATTCATTTTTTATATTATGGTATTGTTAAAATCAGCTTAGGCTTTGACTAGATGAACTTTGTTTTTAATTCAGAGTTTGTTTGAAGCACTGCGGCCATATTTTTCCATTCGTCAAGTTATTATTAAACTAAATTAAATTTAAAAATGGCCATTTATGTTTTAAATCAGTTACGCATAACATATTCTAAATAATTCATATGGCTCGTTTAAATGCTAATTTTGTAATGATCTGTGCACCAGTTAAAAATTGTCATCCTTCATTAACTTCACTCTAGGGAGTGTTCAGCGTTAATTCCAAACGAGGGCTGACACTTATTGAAATAGCAGACGATGTTACAATGGATGAATTAAAAGCTAAAACGGGATGTGATTTTAAGGTAGGTCTACTTTGTAACTTGTTGGTGATAAAAAAAATTCTTGGCTATAGAAGAATGTTGTGATATTTATATTTAATCATTTTGAACATTCTCTTATCTACAAAACTTTATAGCAAATATTTTTTTAATTTAAAATTGCAATAATCTCTTTGTTTTTCAGGTTTCACCAGACCTTAAACCCATGCAAAGTGTTGAGGATTTATATGCCTTAGAAAATGTGTAAAGTTTGCTCAAGTTTACAAAAAGATATTTAAATTTAGTTCATGTACCGGCGTACCATACGAGAACTATTCACAACCATATCTAAGCATAGCTATAAAGTTCAAAGTTTTTTTCTACTTTTCTGTCCCATTAAAAACTCAGGAGTGAAGCATTCTGGGGAAATCTTTTTATTTTGTCTGCTTCAAATTTCTAGGTTTAAGTGTTTATTTTTCAGCTCACAATTTTTATTTCTGTCCCGAGTCATGGACAGGTTGAGTTGCTTATTTGATGAAATTAAATTCATGAATTAGTTTAAGTGATTTCCACAATTACTCAAAATTTTTTTTAGAACAATTTCAAAACTGTCATTTTTAATGACATTCAATATTAATTCAGTTAATAATTGACAATGTTAGTTACTGTTAATATGAATTCCTTGGAACAAAAACTGGCTTAACCCTGTTAGATGTTAATTACAATTTCAAAAAATTAATTTACCCACTTCAAATTGGAAACTAGAGTAACATATCAGGCCAACTTAATATCAGTGATATTTGAATACACCATTAAAAGACAGATAATGCACAGCCATTATCAATGGGGAAATTTAAATCTCTGGATAAAGTATTACTGTGATGAGAGGAGACAATTTATTATACAAATGTCAATTATTTTAAACATAATGTTCTGTTGCATACCAATTTTAAAGAGAACAAAATGGACAAAAATATTGTTCAACCTTCATGGCCTTGCATTTTACAGAATTAGAGAGTTCTTAATGATTTAAATAGATTGAGCTAGTAATATTTTATATGACTATCTTAAATAGAAATTGTAATGGAAAACATCCAATCTGCAATATGTCATTTTATTATTTTGCAATAATTAGAGATCTAATAGTTTAAAAAGATTATGGAGGTATAAATAAAAAGATTATGGAGGTATAAAGACTCCATCACAGAGATATCCTGGCTGACTCTGTCACAAATGACTGGGGCGGGGGTACAGGACAGAGCTCCATTGTTGTTGAGGTAACTTATAGGATGGAAGGAAACTGCTGTTAATGGGGTTAAGTTAAGGTTAATAGACTCTCACATCTTGGTATAGTGGGGATTGTTTCTTTGGATAATAGTATGTTCGGGTTTTCCAGACTTCGCATGATAATTTTTGGGTTAACAATGGGAAGGTCTAATTGACCGGAAATTAGGGGGCATGGGTGTGTTTATAGATAGCATTCCTGGACCACCTATGGGGGGTAGAGAACCACATATAAGATAGAGCTTTCACTGAGTTAAGGTTAGTTGAGGGAGAGTGAACAGAGGTACGACGAGTTGAGGAAGAGGGAAAGGAGCGACAGTAGTTAGTTGAGGAAGATAGAGAAGAACTACGGATTAGTTGAGGAAGAGGGAACAGAGGTACGACGTAGTTGAGGAAGAGAGAGAAAAGAGCTACGATAGAATCAAGCAGTTGTTAGGGAATAGTTGCTAGTGATCAGGAGACGACAGATGACTAGAAGAACTTATATCTTACAAATAAACACTTTCATTATCGTTGGACACCAGGAGTTTTGAGTTGTTGCATTTCGTCCAAGTCTACGTTGTGCTTTTGTCTGTCTCAACGCCTAGACACCCACAATATAAATCACAGAGAGGAGCGGTCCTGTACTGACCACTACTAAGTCAACATAGTTTGTGTTAAGTCAGGACCGGAGCCCTCCTCCGTAACAACCGTTCTGTGACATCTGGGGGCTCGTTCCGGGGTCTAGGCAACAGGAGATAGACAAAGCTGACGTAATAGAGATAGAGAACAGACGTCCCTAGGATTCAACAGGTGTGAAGGGAAACATGACGTCAGTGTTGTGCAGACAGTCGGATTTCTGGAGACCAGCAATGTACCACCAAGTGAAGCAGTGTGACGCACCACTTTGCTACAGGTGCCATCGTGCAGGTCACATTGCTAGGTACTGCACTAACGCACGGCGGTGTTACAGATGCTACTCAACTGGTCATCTGGCTCGAGATTGCTACAACGAGCGCCGGTGTTTTCGTTGTTATGGAAGTGGACACCTAGCCAGAGACTGCGAACGGCCACGGGTCTGTTTCAGCTGTTTACGACCAGGCCACACCGCCGTGAGGTGTCAATTTCAGGGGCGTTGCTACAAGTGTCACCAAAAGGGGCATGTCGTGAGAAATTGCCCAGCCGTCCGTGACACGGAGGAAGATAAAAATTCGAGTTGCAGAGATGAGGAAACGGTATCCACGTGTTTCAGATTAGAAAAGGAAAAGAAATGTATAGAGAAGAGAGAGAAGTCTTTAGTAAAGAAGGATAACAATAGCACACGTGTAATTAAGTACCAAGAAGAAAAAGGAAACGATAGTGAAGATGAAATTCTAATAGGAGGAATTTCTATTGGTGTTGGAGTGAAGGAAAGTGTCTATGGGCTAGTTGGAGACCAAAAGGTTAGAGTGTTTAGACATTATCTGTGTAGTGATATAGTGGTTAGGAGAGACTTAGTTGATGACAGTAAGTTGACAGGAGAGAGATGTACGGTTGTTCTATTGAATGATGCAAGGCTAAAAGGAGAGAAGGCCCTAGTCACGATCAGCACCCCATATATTTCAGGAAATATTAAAGTAGTGTGCATTCCCGACATAATCTATGATGTAATAGTGGGGAAAGTTCTTTAGCACTCGTACAGTTAGGACGTGAGCGGTGCATATCTGAAGGTGGCACCGAGAAACAGTTAAAAAGTGTTTAGTTCAGTGTGAGGATAATCTCCATAGCGTCATCAAGGAGACTTTCTCAGAGACGTTGGACTTGTTTTTAAGACACTAGTAAATTTAGTTATTTAGCTGTGTTATCTTTATTTGAGTTTCACACGTGCATTTAAAAAAAAAAAACTTGCGTAGTTAAAGTAATGCTAGTGATGAGTGTAATCATGTGTTTTAACAGTTGTGGTTGGGTTAAACATTATGTTTGATGAATAATATGAGTGAGTAGCTGCCCCTGGGCTATTGTTTAAGAAGCCAGGCGGGCAGTAAGAGGTCATGTCTGAAGGACAGGGCACACTGGGCCTTGATAAAGGCAGTGTGTGTGGATTAGAGTCTAGTTGTGTTGGTTATGAGTAGCTGCCCCTGGGCTATTGTTTAAGAAGCCAGGCGGGCAGTAAGAGGTCATGTCTGAAGGACAGGGCACACTGGGCCTTGATAAAGGCAGTGTGTGTGGATTAGAGTCTAGTTGTGTTGGTTAGTGATGTCATAATGGCAGAGATGTTTGTTATGGACATCACTGGTACTCGTCTATAACATACCGTGCAGGGCACATGATGGTTTGCGGTGTAAACGATGTGTAGACTGTAGAGTGTCAAAGATAATGTGTTATTTGTGATGTTGGGTTTGATAATTCGATATTTTAAGTTGTATGGCTGGTCTACACTTAGAGATGGTGCGACAGCATTAGAGAGATGGCTGGTCTACACTTAGAGATGGTGAGACAGCATTAGAGGGATAGCTGGTCTACACTTAGTGATGGTGAGACAGCATTAGATAGTTAGCGGTCTACTCTAAGGGAAGTGTGAGATAGCACTAGATGAAGAGTTAGGTTTTGGATAGCATTAGGTGAATGTACACTGGGTAATGTGTCGGACAGCATGGTTAGGTCAGCTATTTCCCACACTGGGTAATGTGTGGGGTAGCACGGTTGGATCAGCTATTTCCCACACTGGGTAATGTGTGGGGTAGCATGGGTAGGGCGGCTATGGTTTGCACTATGTATGTGAGTTAGAATTGCGTATCATTCAACCCGATCAGTGGGTCGTGGGATCAGAGGAGGAGATTAAGACTTAAGGTATAAGTCTAATTGCTAGTATGATAGTAGTATAAGTTATCGTGTTAGACACACTTTGTTCTGAGATTGATATAGTTTAATGAGAGATCAAAATGTTTGAATAAGTTTGTGTTTAGTCTTTACAATGTTCATGTTGTTATGGTCAATTATTAATTTCGTTATTTGTTATTGACATATGCATGACGTTTTGTATTGCCATTTTTAATTTTGTTTGAAAAACTGAAGATGAGGATAGATGACAATAGACTCAACGACGCACAGAGTAAGGGCTTGACGCATGGGATGGTGTGATGTGTAGAGTTGTAGGTTGGTCATTTGTGGAGTTTTTGAAATTTGTCAATATTTTGAAAAATTTCTTGAAGGGGGGGCATATGTCACAAATGACTGGGGCGGGGGTATAGGACAGAGCTCCATTGTTGTTAAGGTAACGTAAAGGATGGAAGAAAACTGCTGTTAATGGGGTTAAGTTAAGGTTAATAGACTCTCACATCTTGATATAGTGGGGGATTGTTTCTTTGGATAATAGTATGTTCGGGTTTTCCAGACTTCGCATGATAATTTCTGGGTTAACAATGGGAAGGTCTAATTGACCGGAAATTAGAGGGCATGGGTGTGTTTATAGATAGCATTCCTGGACCACCTATGGGGGGTAGAGAACCACATATAAGAGGGAGCTTTCACTGAGTTAGGTTAGTTGAGGGAGAGTGAACACAGGTACGACGAGTTGAGGGAGAGTGAACAGAGGTACGACGTAGTTGAGGAAGAGGGAAAGGAGCGACAGTAGTTAGTTGAGGAAGATAGAGAAGAACTACGGATTAGTTGAGGAAGAGAGAGAAAAGAGCTACGATAGAACTGAGCAGTTGTTAGGGAATACTTGCTAGAGACCAGAAGACGACAGATGACTGGAATCTCAACGCCTAGACACCCACAATATAAATCACAGAGAGGAGCGGTCCTGTACTGACCACTACTAAGTCAACATAGTTTGTGTTAAGTCAGGACCGGAGCCCTCCTCCGTAACAACCGTTCTGTGACAGACTCCAGCAAGCAGAATTTGACACTTCACATGGCAGAGTTATGTTTGCTTTGGAGTTACTCATAGTATAACAGGGTGTGCTTTGGTTGTCAACCAGCTAATACAATTTTGAACTAAACATTATATTGTCAATGAGATTATAAGCTGTACATTTATTTTATTTTATCCATTTTGTTAGCCTCCCACAATTCTCAGACGTAATACTTTACTGGCATGAAATACACATTTGAAATTGTAAAAGTGTTTGGACTTCATGTAAAAATGCGGCTTCCGTTTTGTAATTTTTGTTTAATACATAGTTTATTTTCAATGCAAAAATAAATTTTATGTAAGAATGATATAAAGTTTTGTAGATAAGAGAATGTTAAATATTTAAATGCCTTCTGCTCAATGGATGGCCGCTCAAACTTTTTACATGTAATTATTGGATTTCACTTTGTTATTCCAGTAATGAGATTTTTCTGCAATGAAAATTTTATTTTTTACTTACATTCATGTTTAAGAAACATTCGAAAGCTAATTTTACTTCAGAGATTACTTCTTGCACTCTTAGATATGTACATGAGTAGAATGTTTCTAATGACCATATATACTCAGAATCTCACATTTTAAAATTCTTCCAGGCATAAAAAAATATTCCTCTGAATCTGCACTACGCTGAAGTGTTTCAGCTTACACTCTTACCGTCTGAAAGATATTATTGTAGGACGTTGTTAATTACTTCTGCTCTGCTCATTCATTAAGTTGTTTTATCATTTCATTTTTGCTGCTATAGAGGCATTAAATATAAAAATTTTAAACAGAATGAAACTATCATTAATACTATTTTTTGTTTGTTTTAATATTGCAAGTTGTTTGTGTGTGGTGCCATAGTTTTATTCATTGGAATTTCTTAAGAGCAGGGGTGAGCAAACTTTTGTAGCTGTGAGCCAGATTCAAGAGGTAAAAGAGGCATTGAACCCTTAATTGATGAAAGAGGGGTGTTGAAATAATGTGGGTGAACCTCATGTTTTTTTTCTCCAGCCATATTAATGATTATAATAATGATATTATTATTATTCATAAATAAATAATTAACTATATTTTGTATTTTTTAAGGGAGCGCAAGCCACAAGTGGCTCATGAGTCATAGGTTGCCCACCCCTGCCTTAGAGGATTAATATTCACAATTTATTTAGAAGTTCATAAGTCTTCCTGTAACTTGAATTCTATTAATTGTCTTCTAAAAATTATTTTTATGAATGAATAGCATATTTCTTTTTGATAACATTGAAGATCACAACCTGATATTTGGCCAATATTGAAACTGATGTTGAAGATAAACATAAATTATGTTTAAATTTATAGTCATTGGTGCTTTTAAAAGACTTCTTACACATTCAACCACTTTGTCTTTGATATGGACGTTTATTCTACTAAATCTACTGGAGCATTTTATGAAACAATTTTTTTTAGAAATATCTCCACAATTTTTGATTGCCTTGTATTACAATCAAAACTATAGTTTAGAATTGTATTTCTAAAACCAACTTACAAATGTATTTATATATTATTTATACACATTACTAATCATTCATGGTGACTGTTGACACTGTTAAACATGTTTTTGTCCTTTCATAAAATTGATATGTATGTATTGACAAGACTCAACACTTATTTTTAGAAAAGTGTAATAAATATATGTTAAGTTACCCTTATTTTGTTGCTGTAATGATTTTTATGTATCATGTATTAATTCTGCTAGTATTTAGCTTTGAAAATATGATTTATCTAAATAAGATTGCTGGAAATTTCATTTCTAAAAATTGTAGGCAACTTGAGAGGTCTTTAAAAAAAATGCTCAACTGCTGTAACTTTTTCGAAGAAGGTGAACATTTAGGCCCTTCTAGCATTTACTAACAGTCTTCCTATTAATTATTTTTTACAATTGTTATTCTTTCACCATGCATTAAAATATTATAAAAAGTTGAATAATTTGAAATGTATCTATAATTATAATTACTTAATTTTAATTTTATTTAATGAAAATAGTATAAAGGAAGCTGAAATATGCCAGTTTTCATGTAAGGAGCCATCCATAATATATTTCTATGTACTAGTACTGGGGGGGAGGGTTCGATTTGGAGATTTTGACTATGGGTACATAGGACAAGAGGGGGAAGTTGTCTTGATAGAAAGTAAGTACAGGTGTAAAAAATTCAGCAATTATTATTTTGATAATCTCCAATATCTCTAATAAAGCCAACTGTTGCCATAATTGTTATTATTGCTATGTGTTATCGCAAATACAGTAACTCAGCAGATATGGCAACGGTAATGTTTAGCCTAGTGAATCAAGTTTAAAGACAGTAAATCCCAACCCTTCCTTCCCCCACGCCCCATCTGAGCACCTAAAAAGGTTTACCAGCCCCCCTACCCAGCCACATTTAAAGGGTCGCCATTCTGCCGTAAAGAAGAGTGGCTATGAAAATTAATGTTGCTGTTTTTTTTTGGCCTTAAGATTTACAATTATAGTAAAGCGTATAGTCCTTATAGTCCTAAGAAATAAGTGAAATATGTAGGATTTGACATACAGAAAAACCTTATTAACTTTTAAAAATACGTTTTATTCCTTTTTTTTTCAATAACAACCTTCCTGGTCTTTTGAAACTTAGATTTGCAAATTCCCATGGCGGGGCGTAGCGAGGGCAGTGCCACACGCGCGGAGCCAACATTTTTGACGCCCCCCTGACTGGCACAAAATAAAGCAACTATTCAACTATTTTAATTATCTGTTATGTCATAATGGTTTATAAATATACATTTTTTGAGGGGTGGGGCAGGGTTGAGAGCTTAGTGTACGTAAGCATGGTTAAAAAGTGTGGGGGCCAGTGGGAGGGTACCCAAAAATTACGGGTGCAACACGGGGGAGGGGGGTTATAAAATTTGAACTTTTAAATGTTTCTTTTGCATGCGTAAAATATAGATTTCCATTCCAACGGCAACGTCTGCATCAGGAAGTGATACTTTAGAAACCATTGATACTCAGTCCGATAATGATCAAGAATAATGAAAACATAAATGTGAAACAACTTGTGTTTGCTTGCTTGTGTACATTTACACAGTACATTCCCTTGGTCAAGTTTTAGTGTTTCTGAGGTTTTATATCTTTTACGAATACCGTCAAATCGAATCTGCATGACTATTGTTTCTTGGAGCACATCTTGCAGCAGGGCAGTTTAAACGCGAAGCTTCAATAAAAAGTATAAATAATCTCTTTAAAAAATACATCAAACCTTTATAATCATAGTGAATTTGTTACAGTAATTTTCAACCTTCATAACTATCTCATTAAAAATAGCTAATTTAAATATTTCTCTAAACAGAAAAAATCGTACAATTACAGTGCTTCCTTAGAATTTGTCTCGAACTGGAAAATAAAGGCTACATGTAATTGTTTAGTTTACATCATTATCTGAAATCCCTTTTTTTATTATTTTTTTTCAAAACCGAAACAAGACGTACAAAGTAAGGTCAATAGCCGTCCCAAAGGTATTCGCGATAACATTTTGTGGTTACGACTACACGTCGCGAGCACCCGACCCTGTCTGCTAGAACTGTCTTTACTCCAGCCTGATTTGTTTTAGTCGTCATTACAAACACTATGGCAGCCTGCTTCTTGTTTTCATCCATCACGCAACAAGCTGGGAAGCGATTATGCAAGAACCCAAGTTTTTATTTACCGCTTTTAAAGGTAAAACTTTTGAAACATATTTAAAAAAAAAAATGAATTTGGTGATTTATTCTCTTTAACTTTTTGGAGAACAAGAATTTCAAGAAAGGTTAAACTAAATGACCGCACCACGACCCCCATTTTCGTCTTTACTAAGACAATTAGCCAAACTGAAGTGTTATTACAGGATATAAAAATTAATTATAAGGTGAATATTTAAAACTTATTTCGGTCACTACTCATCTAGTAAGACTTAATTCAGTTGACTAGCTAGTAGTAGTACTATCTAGTTGCTAAGTTGGTAGCATCAGAAATTGTAGTAAGAAATATTTTAATTATTATTTAAATATTTTTTTTAAAATATTCATTCTGAAAAATGTGTAACCTAACTTAACCCCTATTAGATTTTACTTTAGTATTATTACCTGGCTTTAACTTTAGGCTAACATTTTTAAATTTTCTATAACTAAAATTAATTTTAAATTCCTATCCTCTGGTTCTAGTTTAGTAAATTGGGTTATTGGACTTGAAACCGACCTCTACTCCTAAAGTAACCTTTGACACCCCTCTTCCAAATCTATCACCCAATACTGTTCAAAGTCCACATAAGATTACAAGGTACCCAGGTAGTGTATCATAAATAAAGGCGAATGGGCATGTCATAAGTTACCACTCAGTAGTCAGTAGTGATCTGGATCTCTTATCATATTTTACAATATTATTTATAACCTAGTAACCTACCAGATATATCAAATTTAAAGGTTAGGCCCTCTCATTTTAGGCAAATTTCTTTATAAAGCTGACAAACATTCAACTATGAAAAAACCTTTCCTTTTTTTTTCTTGAAATATTTTCCCCAGTAACTTTACCCATTAGATTAATCTCATGAAATATGTTTTGCTAATTTAATAGCTCATTTAAAAATAGAGTCATCTTGGATTGTTTTAATTTAGTCTTGCAGAATTCATTCACAATCAAAGGCATAATTTTAATTTTATGGCATCCCAAATTAATTTTAGATTCCTTGAAACTTTTGAATCATAGTGAAAAACTAATTATAGAGCATGTTTCACTTCTTATCCTGTAGGCCTATAAAGTGTCCCAGAAATTGCTGGATCTTTGCATTCCTAATTTATCAAATCTGATAAGAAAAAAAAATTGTATAAGAGACCTTTGTTCCCCTTTAAAATGTGAAATATATATCAATATGTAACATCTTTGAAGGACAGTAAATGCCCTTGCTGTTTTAAGCTATTGCACATTGTAAAAGATATGTGCTAGTTTTTTTTGTATTGTGTGTGTGTGTCTGAAAGCAAGCTTCATTTAATTAAATTTCTATTCAAATATTTAAAAAAAAATTTTTTATTGCTCTGAAAAGGAAAAAGGTTTAGAATCTAGTATTAAATGGCTGATCTGCCTTGTTCAATAGCCTTGTTTTCTAATGTGGTGATAAATAAATTCCAGTAAAGTAAGTATGGTTTGAAAAGAATTAAGTGGTCCCTACGACTCACCTTGAGCTCAGTTGGCCCATTGTTAGTTTGAAGAAAAAAAGTAGGTCTAAGTACTTTAAGAGAATCAAAACAGTCTTATCTTTAACACAAAAAAGGGAGACATTGACTTTTACTTCAAAAAAAAAAAGTAAAACTAAACAGAGAAGGAGAACGTTAAAAAAGGATTGAGTTGGGAGGCAATGGTTGTGAAGCGAATTAAGAGATTCAATGATGTCTTAAGAAAATGAAGTAGAAAGGAATAGATTAATAAAAAATAAATTGTGAAACCTTGGAATGGAGAGCAACCCTATGGTGCAATGGGAACATGCCTGCCTTGTGGTAGCATGTCTGTCTCATGGCAGCATGTCTGTCTCCTGATGTGAGAGTCTATCAACCTTAACTTCACCTCCTACTCTTAACAATGCCTTCCCTAAAATACCAGCAACTTCCGCCCATCCTATAAGTTACCTTAACCACAATGGAGCTCTGTCCTGTACCCCGCCCCAGTCATTTGTGACAACAGTGTATATACTTGTGTTGGAGGGAGTAGATCCAAAAGCATAATTCAATTCTCTATATCATCAATATATTAGATTAGCCTAGAAAATGTTTAAAGTTCAGTGGTGATACAGAGAAGTGAGTTCTGATTATAAACATAAATATAATCATGACATAAGTATTAGTTCATGATTAATTTGCATTTTTGGAGAAGAAAAATCAATTATTGTGGGTTTTTTTGGTTTCTAGGTCTCAGATGCCAAATTTTCGTCCACTCCTAAACATAACGTCAAATTTTATGACTCTGCTCAAGAAGCTATTGGTGACATAAATGATGGAGCTAAGCTTTTGGTGGGAGGTATGAATTTTCTTAATTTCATTATTTAAATTCTGTTCCTCTTCAAGAAGAGTAAAATTTATTCAAGCTTTTTACTTAATCATTTTAAAAATAATCTCATTTTATCAGTGATTTAGTCACATTTGTTAAAAACAGCTTCAGTTTATTTATTTTTCCAAATTTTTGTGCAGGCTTTGGGCTCTGTGGTATTCCAGAAAACCTGATAGCTGCCTTACTTCAGAAGAAGACCAAAGGGCTAACAGTTGTTAGTAACAATGCTGGTGTTGATGACTTTGGTCTAGGACTTCTTCTAAAACAGAAGCAGGTGTGTTCTTGTGCTGAGTGACATCAAAGGCTCATAAAGCACATTTTATTGGTACAGCAGATTAATAAGCTACATTTTTTTTGTGTGGAATTGATGGAAAGTTTTCATTAAAAATTAAAAATCTCAAAATGAGACTGATCGTGAGCTAGTTAATCAAAAATAAATTTTGTTTGTAAAATTTTGATACAACTGTTAGTGCCAAAGCAGAGTAAGGTATGGGAATATACAAATTTTTTTGAAATACAACACCCACTAGCTGTGCTGTAAAAGTTAAATATGTTCTAATTTTAGAACTTCAAGGGACAGCTTGGTGAACATTGTTCTATTCTTAATAACAATTTTGATATATTGTTAAACACTTTTCATTTTTTAAAATTTGTTGACCTTAATTGCATAAGTTAAAGGGAGAAGTTAGTTGATCATGCATTGAATAAAGTCCTAAAAAAGTGATATTGAAATTGACAATGACACACCCATCACACAAAAGTGACATCTTCTATGGGAAAAGTTGGGGTCACCAAGGGGCTACAGCATATTCCTAGGTGCTAACAATATATTTTTTCATTTTCAGATCAAGCGTATGATATCTTCATATGTTGGAGAGAATCAGGAATTTGAAAGGCAGTATCTATCTGGGGAATTAGAAGTTGAGCTTACTCCCCAGGTAAAAATCTTAAATAATCATCAGATTATCATAAATCAATCATAAATTAAATTAATAGAAAAATCACATCCTCTTTACAAGCTCCCAATTTTTGAAAAGTTATAAAAAAAATATTTCAAATTACTTTATATACACTATTCTATTTTTTTAAATATATGATAGGGCATACAAAATGCATTATCACTTCAATTTACCTTTCTGTTACTATGTTGTGTAAATTGGGGATGGGTAACTCTGAAATAGTGATACTAGAGTAATTGCTCTGTTTCATATGAAGATAAGCTTTACTCGGAGCAGAAGAGCTAAATTTTACCACTGAAAAAATGTTAAGTCATGTTTGAAAATAAAGATTTCCATTGGACACAATATTTAATCAAAAGGCAAGATGACAATATAGGACAAAAAGTGTAACTTTTTGTTGAAACTGGTTGTTGCATCATACAGTGCAGTGGTTTTCCTTTGGGAAACAAATTCCTGCACTCATATGCTTATCATTTTTGTCTATTTTTAGCTGTATATTTTTGTTAATGATTGTGAGGTTGTTGTTTTTTTTATTCAGGGTCATACGATCTTTCTTATCTTTGTACTTTTCTAATTGTATTTGATTACCTAAAAATAACTAAATGAAATATAGTCATTTAAAAAAAGAAATTTATGGGAATATACACGTTATATACACATATTTACCCTTATAGTACATGGGGGGGGGGGGGGCATTGGATTAGTTGAGGCCTCTTGACAAATGACTATGCATGCTAAAATTCTGACAGTCATAGAAACAGAAAAAAATGTTGCTTATGTAAGGACTACAAAAACAATTTGGGGGGGGGGGGGGCATTGGATTAGTTGAGGCCTCTTGACAAATGACTATGCATGCTAAAATTCTGACAGTCATAGAAACAGAAAAAAATGTTGCTTCTGTAAGGACTACAAAAACAATTTGCATATGTAGTGCCTGGTCAATTAACCCATATGGTTATGTGTCAATTATCTACAGACCAAGCTGGAAGTTCCACACGGGTATAATTTTCATTGTTTCATTTGAGAGCCAAAGTATTAATAACTTTCTTTTAATACTAACATATGGACGGTGTGTTTTCTAAATTAGTTTATTAGTCAAAATGAATAGAAATTAATTGAATTCAAATAAATTTTCTAGATTGCTCATCATCCATCCATCCCTTCCAAATTAAAAAAAAAAATTGTAAATGTTAGCTTTCCTACGAGGTTAAATGAATAATCAATATCAAGGTCATTTAGAAATATCTGAAAAGTATTTAAATATTCAAAAATATAGTGTTGAATTCAGGAGTCAGTTTATTTTCCAAGTTTGTATCAAAGTCAATTTTTTTATATTTTCAAAGTTATTTTAAAGGTTATCTCCATACTTTTGCATAAAATTTCAAAATGCCCAAGTACCCTACTCTAATATGAGTTTGATAAGAACTAGGGGTGTGCCGGAATCCGGTTCCGCCGGATTTTGCACTATCCGGTGAAATCCGGTTCCGCCGGATTTACGTGTATCCGGAACAACCGGAATCCGGAATATACCGGATTTCGGAATTTGCCAGATTTTGTGACTCACCGGATCATAATCTGAAATAAAAGTAATTCTCTTTCCCGAATTCCACACGATCACGATACATTAATCGATTGTTTCGAGCGTTGAGCTTGTTTAATGTTTAATATTCCGAACATACCAGAGGCTAGAGTCAGCACCGCTAATAGTGGCCAATCAGCCCAATCCCATACATGATAGTGCGGGGATGAGTAATTATTATTCGTGACGTCATCTTAACCGCAATCACCAATGACGTTGTAACAGAAATAATAAGCAACTATACTGCCCAAGCGCCTGGCCGCCAGCCCGCCACCTTACCGAGCACGGCAGACGACCATCAAATTGCGTCAAGCCAGCAGGCCTGTGCTGACCTAGCCTATCTATGAATACTTTTAGGGACACACACTGATCGACCTGACGTCAGTCTGCTTAGCAATTAGTCATTGGTGCAGAGATATAGATTACCCGTACTGCCCTGCGGAGCTGTCTCCTCACCAGGCATAATAATAATAACAACAACATAGAAACTTATTATGCGCCAAATTACAGTGAAACAATTAAGTGATCTCCAACGAGGTATAAATTTTTACTAGAGTGCTCGTGTAAACAAAAAAAGTGATTGCGCAATCTCTGATTGGCTGGTCGGTTACCACTTGATTACCTAACGCGATAGAAATTTATCTCAGTTTTTAAAATTTACCGTAATTTTAATTCATATTTTGATTTATATTATCGTTCACTCAATTGTTAAAAATGCGTATCATTTTTGAGTAATAATTAACATTACGTTAGCGGTCTAGTATAAATTTAAAGGTCTTTGGTGATCTCTATGTCACCAAGCCATCTTCGGCGATTCTCGCTTGCGCTATGATCTGTGCTCTTTGGTTTAAACGACGGTATGACGAAGCCGCGGCGCTCAGCTGTTACAAAATATTTCGCCATATTGAATGCTTGAAATTGGAGTGGAGTTTATAATTTAAAACTTTATAACGGTAATTTATAAAATTTATCTCATTTTCGAAGCTAGTTCAAGCTACAATTCTAAATAATTTTCAATTTAGTAACGAATTTAAATTCAGCCGTGGGACCATCATGGCTTCGAATGTGGGTAGCGGGAGCGGGACCAAGACCAGCAAGATAACTTATTATCAATCTGCGTTTTATTCTGATTTCAGTGATTTCTGAATAATTTCTATTTTCTAATTTATTTCCAAGTTCTTCACTTCCAACTTCCAATCAGCCAATGTCATTTAGCCATTTAGGCCAACTGTTCAGAAGGCATCCAACCCCTCAGATTTACCGGTATCTGCAAAGTACCAAATTCCGGAATCCGGGAGAATCCTGATTATTCCGGAATCCAGATCCGGCGGATTTCGCATAAGAAAATCCGGATCCGGTTGTAAAAAACGGATCCGGCACACCCTAATAAGAACCACATATTTATGAAAAATAACTAATTTATACATACATATTTTACATGATTTTTTCAAATAAGTAACATCTATTTTTTTAGATTTACTTATTTTTTTCTAGACAAATAATTTAAAACATGCTGAATTTCTCATTACAAGGGGACTTTGGCAGAAAAGATTCGGGCTGGTGGTGCTGGAATTCCAGCATTTTTTACACCAACTGGCTTTGGAACACTGATTCATCAAGGAGGGGCTCCAATCAAATACACCAAGGATGGAAAAATTGAAATTGCCAGTAAGGAAAGAGAGGTAAGCCAATATTTGATAGAATTATATAGGCATTAATTGCTTGACGTGTCAGTGCGGAACTAATTTGGTTAATTAATGTCTTTTATGCTTTTTTTGTAACTCACTTTTGTTAATTACGTTTAATTTGCTCAAACCAAGTTAAGTTAACTACAAATGTAGAAAGATTATTTTTATGACAAAATTATGACCCAGGGAATCTTTTATCCTTCATAAAATTTTAGTAAAAAAAATTGCTCCCCTACATTTGTTTGCTCAACCCTTTTTTCTTGTTCTGAACTTATCAGTTGTAACTATTTTGATAAGATTACAGCTATTTTGGGGTAGCTCCATTTTTTTTTCACCAATAGGCCCCAGTTCTTCAGACTTTTCCTTGGTCTCTGTCCATTTGGGAAATGCTTTTCCTCATGGTTTCCTCATACTGAAGCCTTCTAAGCAGATTATTTTATTTTTAATCGGGTTGATAACTTAATAGCTGGTTCAATGGATCTATTGCTAGCTCTTTTTACTCAAATATTGTTTCAGATTTTAATTTAGTAGTATTGACATATTATTGTATAAATGATTTAGTTTTAATTTTGGGCAGTATATAATACATACATAACTAGACAAAAATAACATGTCTGCCGAAAATACATCAAAATTTGACCTTTTTATATATATTATATTGTCACTGTGAACATTTAAGTCACATTTTTTCAAAAATGCTTAAATAAAAATTTATTATTAAGATCTAGTGCTTCTCCATTTCCTGTAAAATATTTTTTTTAGAATTGTATTATTGGAAAGTACATTTTCTATTGCATGATCTAACCAAATAATATAAAATATAAATATATATATGGCCATGTTATTATATTAGTGCAATGGGGTTACAGCAGCACTTTGAAACCTTACAAGACATTAAAACTATTAGCTAGCATTCTCTGACACCCAAATTTTTTTTTTTTAAGTTGCCTTTTTCAGTCCCATTTTATTTTTGCAGGCAAATTTTATTTCCATTGATTATGATAATAATGGTTCCTTTATTAGTACCAATATCAATATTTTGTGATGCACTTGTGAAATTTTTGGGACCCACCTGTGTGTTGAGGCACATCTTTCTCTCCCTCAGCTGCACAGATCTTTCAACAGTTTTTATTAATTTTTTAAAATAATTATAATATTACTAATACTATTAAACCTTAATAATTAAAACATCTGTTTACTATGTGTGGTGGGATGGTCTTGCAGTGTGGTGTTCCAACATGCATACTTGTTGCCAGCAGCTCTAAACCCACCAATACCAGAAAACAAATCAAGACAAATCCACGAACTTTGGTTTAGATGGGGCCCCTCAATCTTTTTCGGTGGTTCTCTGGTAGAGAAGGAAAACCCCAACCACAAACCTCTAATAGAGAATCCCTCAATGAGGGATCCTTTTAGGCACTGGTAGTATGAATTCGTGCAAAAAATTCTAGTATGCATGCTAAGTGGAATCATTCATTTGAAATGCCTTTGGTTTCACCAGCTGACTGGGAAACATTTAATTTTCAATTGAACCCTCTCAACCGTCATAGTTTTGCCAGAACCCCAAACATTACTATTGTGGCCACAACACAAATATAAACATGGAGGCTTTGAAAGGAATGGAATATAATAAAGGTCTTATTCTCTGATTAAAATCTGATTTGAAATAAATCCACTATATATTCTTTGCATCATCCATCTGATTCATTGTGTTATGATTTGTAAACAGTTCAGTAGTAGTTAAATGATTGGAATACTTCTCTATCTACACCATGGTCACCAATTTTTTTTTTAAATTAAAAACCAGCACAATTAAAATCATTTTGCAACAAAAAAATGTCCAAAAATACATGGAAAACTCTTCTGTCAGTGAGGGGTTATAAACCTTGAATGACAGGCCAGGACAAAGGTCTAAAAAAACAGTACTATCCTGGTGAATAATCACCTTTATCAAAACTTGTAGAACTGAGAAATTTAAGTATTTTAGTCAAGATGCTGAAGTGTTGTGCAAATTCTGTTCCATGGTAGGTACAGCCTTAGAGGGAGCGTCCATTAATTACGACAACAATTTTAAAAGCAATTTTTTTTTATCCGCTGTGGAAATTCTCAAATTAATTTAGCAATGTCATTGAATTATAAAATGATGTGCTCAGAAGTTTAATCTTTTAGTGCGGTTAAAAAAAAAAGAAGAAATAAAATAAAAATTTGTTAAATCAACAACAAAGGACAATAGGAATTTATGTTTATAACAATAAAAAGTAGGATAAATCCAGGTTTTCAATACTTGTACTTCTTATCTAACGAGTGTCAAGCCAGCTGCAATCAAACCACTATTTCTATATATTCATAACAGTCAACAGTCTCTTATCATTGCAGGACCTTTATCAACCCTATAATAGTATTGGGCTTAACATACTAACAATTATTGCTAGCCTATATTTGTATTTCTTATGTGTATGAGTCTCTGGACATTTTTGTTGATTTTATGACTCATAAACTCCTTAATATATTTTATCAGTGTACAATCATATACCAGATATAATATCTCCTAGTCCATTTTACTTCCTTTTCCAAAGCAAAGGCTTTTTGTGTGCTGTTTATTTTTGTTGATTCAAAATCATTTTATAAAAGGTCATTCACGTCAACTAACATTAAATTAATTAAATATGGCATGGAATATTCTTAATTTAGACCCCCACATTTCCGTTGCAACCCTACTTGAGACACCCACTCCATTCCTTTAAATTATGCATTCTTTCAAAGAGGGCTCACTACCCCACTACCCCCCTCCCCGTACAAAAAAAAATCTATTTACATGTATTTATAAACCATGACGTACACACGACAATTTAATTGAAGCCATGACTTCCTAAACCAGTATTTCCCAACGTTTGGGGTACGCTCCACGGGGAGGCAATTTGAAGATTATAGATAGGACAGTGGTTCTCAGCCTGTGGGTCGCGATCCCTTTGGGGGTCGAACGACACGACCCTTTCACAGGGGTCGCCTAAGACCTTCGGAAAACACAAACTCTACAGTTATGAAGTAGCAACGAACATAATTTTGTGTATGGAGGGTCGCCATTACTCGAGGAACTGTATTAAAGGGTCACGGCATTAGGAAGGTTGAGAACCACTGTTAAAGGAGGATGTCATTTAGTTTCTGGGACAGTGGCAAGTGGCGCGTGTTTGGGGGGAGGAGGGTTGTTTGTTTAATTTAAATGTTCCTCTAAAAGAGAAAGCACTAAAGCGAATCATTAAGACTAAGACTAAGAAGACATTTAAGTAACGATTTGAATTTGAATTCTCAGATATCTCAACTATAAACTGACTAAACTAAAACACTTAAATGCAGTCGTATGATATAATGTGAGCTGTTGACTTTGATACATAGAATAAGTTTAATTTTTAACTACGCTCATATTTTCAATGTCCTAAAAAAGTAAATTGGGTCAACAACCAAGACGAAAATTTAAACCATGGAATAATATTGTTTTGTACATTTTCGTCTTTTTATAATGGCAAATTTTTTAATAATCCAAAGCCAGTTGAGTTATCGTTCGTGTGGAAAATAAAAGATGGCGCATGATTTGTCATTGTTATTTTGACTCATGGTGTTGATGTGTCACGGTGATCAATAATCTATTAATACACATTGAAGAGAAACTTTATTGGTTTTCACGATGCCAATCCGTGATAGGTTTTACGAGCTTCAGCAGCAGAGAGAGCTGCTGGAATTAGAAAATAAGTCAGGAAAAGATTCAACCAGTTCAAAGAAAAAGATGGACGGCGGAAAAACAATGCAGTCGTTCCTCACAGCAGCTAGTAAAATCGAGGCGGAGTTGAATAAAATGAAGACAGATGTTGCGGAAATAAAGAAACTACAGCAGGATATGCTTAGTACTCCATTTCCTGATAAAAATAATGTGGCGAAATACGAGTCTCTTGGAGAGCAAGTTCGCTTTGATGCAACAAAAATTGGTGGATCCTTAAAAGAACTGGAGAAAAAATATGATGGGCGTGACCTTCCTGAAGAGAGTGCTTTTAAACGAGTAAGAACTCAACAACTTAACACTCTCACTGCTGAACTTAACATTTCAACAAATGAATTCTTTAAAATTCAAGCTGACTATATGGATAAAATGAAAAAGCGATTAAGAACTCAGATGAAAGCCCGTGGGGATTCAATTGATGATTCAAAAATAAATTCTCTTCTCGATCATGATTCATATTCTGTATTTACTGACAATTATATATCTGATGTACATGATGCAGAACAAACCCTTAGGGATCTTGATGAAAGGAAGAAAGACATTCTAGCTCTAGAAAAAAGTGTTGCAGATGTGAACCTCTTATTTAAAGAAATGAACTTACTAGTTTCAACACAAGGTGAGACTCTAGATACCATTGAAAGTGCTATAGATAATACAGCTGTGCATGTGGAAAGTGGAAAACTAGAACTTGTCAAAGCTGAGGAATATCAACACAGGGCGCGTAGAAAGAAATTCTGTATTATTGGCATTGTATTAATTGTTGTGATTATTTTGGCTCTTATTATTACAGTGTCTGTTGTAACGTCTAAATAGGATAATACATTGTCATTTTGTGCTGCTTTTTCATTGATTATAAAGTTTCATTTGTTTTTAATTCATGAAATAACTCTCTTAGGTTTATCTTAACTACAGTTATCTAAAAGAAATGTATAGTTTATGCTGTAAAATAAGGCAGTAGCAGTATTTAATTTTTTCTTCATTACAACCTTAAGTTTTATATTTTTAAGGTTTCAATTTTAAGAAATTCTTGTTTAAATTGTGCATTGGTGGGTAAAAGGAAATAATGATATGGCTAAATAAAACGCAATAGCTTAAGTGTTATGCAGTTTTCAATTGGCTTCTCATCAGATGTTTTTGCAGTTTGAAATTCATATTTATCAATGTTAATTATTTTTTTAAAATTACTTATATGCTTGTAGCTAGCATTTAATTCAGTTAAGAGTTAATTGAGATAAAAAATGTATCCAATAGTCATAGCCATAAACAAGGTAGTACTGTACCGGTACCAAAAGTTTCATATTTTTTATCTAAAGAAACATAATATATAAGATAATTTTTAAAAAACAACTCTGAAATATACATTTATTTTACTGTAATTAAAACTCTTGATATCTGGTACTGAGCAGTTTGAAACCATTAAACGTCATTTTTCTATGCACTTGCTTTACCAGCAGTACCCTTGCCTTATCAAACCAAGGCATGTGTGAATATGATATGGCCTTGTAATTTTAGCATTTTTAAAAAAAATCACTTTCTGGGGTCTAGCACTTCTGTTTTTTTAACAAATACTGTTGTTTGCATAAAATTAATAACTTTATTTGTGTAAGTCGTTTTCAGTAAATAAAAAAACAATTAAAATGTTCATTTAGGCCTAGCTATTTTATATATTGAAACTGAAATCAAATATATATATTGGCTGCAGAAATAGGATGCATTTTTTTTAATGCTGTATATTAATGTAAGTGGAGAACGGTTATGTCAATCAGCTTTAACACCACAGAAGCAGCCATAGTGGCTTATGCTCTGCCATTATGACAGTTGGGTTAATTATTGACAATTTTTTATTATAAGTAATATACCATTTTGTACATATATGAATTTTCTTAAAGTTAAATCTAAAACAAAATTTTCTTAATATTGTTAAATTATTATTTACAAGAGACAAGCATTAAAAAATTATTTTAAAATGTGCCAACTTATCAGACTTATCTTCAACTTTTGAGTTTCCTAAACATTTAAATATAATTAACATTTCTAATAATTTATGTAATCACATCTACACCAAAGTCACAATTGAATAACCATATATAAAACTTATTTACAGTATGTTTGCATTTGGTAACCATATCACTAGTTGCAACTACCTGGTACCCAAAATACAATAATATGGGGAAACACATTTTTTTTGTTTATATTCTGACTGTTCCGTATGATTTTTTAATCAACTTAATGTCAGTAAATTAAAACTTTAAAACGAAAGAAAGAATGTAAATATATAACTAGTTTTACTATCAAACAAAATGACACTCACTCACAGCAGATCCTGGCCATGATAGAAGTAGAAGTGTTTGGCGCTACCAGTTGAGATTGAGAGCACAAAAATATCTGTTAATTTCTCTAATTTGATAAAGTCATCTGTTTATTTTCTAGATTGTCTTTCAGGAATGTAATATGACCATTAATGTCTAGCCTATGACTATGATTACCTTAATGTCAATAGAGACATGTACATAATAATGTATGTAAAGACCTGCCAGTATGTTGGTGACATTTTTTAAATTACTATTTTGTGTATTTTTTTATTTAAACATTTTTCAAATGTGTCACATAAGATTGTAATTGTATATATTTCCATCATCAGACATTATGTGCCTTGTTTATTTTTGAATAGTATGTTAAGCATCTCACTTTCATCTATGTTACATGTTGTTGCCTATTTTGACAGTTCATAAATTGAGGTCAATAACATTCCAGCTGCTCCTATTTGTTGTAAAAATTAAAAGCCTTTACATTCCATGAGTTATCATTTTAGGTATGTACATTTTTTTGTACAATTTTTAATGTGTCAATTTCTTGGCATGTAAAAGCTTTAGTAAGAATCTGTTGTATAAAGTTAAGAATTTGGTCAGTGTGCTAGAGTAAGTCAGTGTGTAAGAAGGTAGAGTAAATTTTTGTTGCAGAGATAAAGTTAAAGTAAAACATGAGTATATAAAGTTTATGTTTGATTATGTATGACTTTAGGCATGATATAATACTGGTACAAGAACAAAATTGATTTTAAGCTACATGAATAAAGTAACAGTCATATATATAATTAAATAAATTTTTTGAGTGTTTCATTGCTTGTGCCTATAAAAATGGACTTTCGGAAGATCAATTTTTTTACCTCATTAAAAATTGTATGCCACCCATCATAGTCATAGAATATATTCTGCAAAAGAATTAAAGACAACATGAGCTAGATATTTTAGCTCTCAGGTATCACTTGTTTCTTGATTTGACTTTGTACTCACCCTTCACACAATGCTTTTGTAAACATTAAAAAAGTTATTTCTAATAATTGGCTTTTTTTCTAAAAATATATACATGTTTACTCTTGTCACCCCTGTGTAGTATAAGCAAAGAGAATGGTAATGAATATGTCGATCTTGTTGCAGTTTAGAATACTTAGATTATACAAACATGCCACTTTCTCTTAATAATGTGGTCAGTTAGGCATAAAAACTCCAACCTCCAAGTCTAATACTGGTATCTATGCATACAGCACATTTTAAATAATGTAAAAAAAGAAGAAAAAAATATGATTGGCCTCGTCCAATTTAAGTTTTTAGGTAAATCCCTTTAAATTTAAACCTTTACCTTGCTTTGTGGTAAGAAAATGTCATTTAAAAGAGGAAAACATATCTTTATGGTACCGGTAACATTTTAAATTTTAAGTGCTTTTAACATAATGAAGGTAACCATATTACTACACAATGTGCCATGTTAATTCCATACTAGTCACAACACAATTTCTATCTGTTGTGTTATGTCTTTAACTTAAATGGCTTTAGGTTACCAGGTATGTGGAAGAACACAAAAGTAATATATATGTCTAGAGGGAAGACCAGCAAATTTCTCATTTATTTTCTTTGCGTTATTTTTTTTTACCCCACTAGAATCGTGCCATGTTGCTATTGGCGCAGACATAGTTTACCGGGGTATTAACATTCATCTTCAATGTATGACAAATGTTAATTATTTTGCAATCAACATTTAAGATCACAACTTAAACTTAACTGTCAACTCTCCTATGATCATCAGTCAAAAGTGGCAGGATTTGGTGACATGATATTTTCACTTCTGATTTGATGGTCCGTTTTGGTCTGATAGATTATTGCAAATACACTGGTAGACTTGACAGCATTAACCACTACCATTAGTGATCCCATGAGCCTTGGTTGTAATAGTAATATGCAACATAATGATAAATGTAGCAGAGAGCCACTAAAATTTTGAGATGGGGAAAAAAGTTGTACAACCATTTCATAGCAACAATAGTTTGACAATGAAATATACATTAAAGTCTTGATAAAAAGCTTCAATGAAATTACCTGAAGTGAAGTGCTTCCACCATGCCAGTACCGGTACTTAAAATTTTGGCAGACTAGTGATCAAGTTTCCCATTCCACTAGGGATCCGAGCCAGATTTATAACTTATTTCTTTCTTGCTTAAATTACTTCAAATATGTTATAAAATATTATTTAGTCATTGAGCGGCCAATTTGATATTACCATTTATAACAAGCTGTAATAATTTGTTGCTTGTTTTGGCTGTAAATAAGAACATCATTTTAAATTTTTTTCTGGTAAAGGGGAATATTAAACATGTTTGAAGAAAAAATCCTTAGACTATGATTACTATATGAAGGGGTTCACAAGATATTTTCATTTTTATACACACGAAAAAACTTTTTTTAAAAGGTGTCTTTGAAACAAGGAATTCAGTTGAACAGGAAAGATGTAACATTTTCCAGTTTCTTGACTCATGTTTTGCAGACTGTCAACATAAGGCTTGCACTTGCAGCCTAGTGCTGATCTGCTGATTACCAAAGCTCATTACCTTTAGTAGACCTTGTAAACTTGGGCATAAAAATTTGCTATCATATTATTTAATTTTGTTTTACAAGGAAGCTTCGGCTTGTATACTATAGTTACATTAAAAAGTTGATTATGTTTGTCCAAACAGCAAAGGCAATTTAATGGCATCAACTACATCATGGAGGAATCTATTACGGGAGACTTTGCTCTTGTCAAGGCCTGGAAGTCAGACAAGTCAGGCAATCTTACATTCAGGTAATAATAATACTAATATAGAAGCCTAACTATCAATTACTTCATGCAACAAGTTTAAGTCTACAAATACAATCTGCCTGAACAGGTGCCTTCTCTACAGTTTGTAAAATACACAAACAATTTCTATAGATCAACATTATAATTAGTAAGTCCCCTGCAACAACCCAGAAAGAAAAGGTTTGTGAAATTTAAGTGTGTAACGAAATAGAAAAAGATAGAGCAGTTTATATGTTGTGGAGAGTATCTGATATATCTAAAATTACTAAAATGGATAATCTAAAAATTCTTTAATGAAATACTGTTTAATTTAATACTGACATGCATAACAAAAATAAATAAATAAAATATATGCTGATCCACAGTGTTAAAACTATCTTATTTTCATGTTTGTTGAATTGGATTCATGGTCTGGTAGCAAATGTCAAAGACAAGCTTAGATCAAACCTCTCCCAGTACTATTGATTGCAGTTAAAAGAGCCTTAAAATGTTACTTCTATTTATACTAAAAACCTGCATAGTTATTTAAATTAATCACTTGATAAAAAATGATACAGGTACCCTTTTTTTTTTTCATGTATTTTAATGACTGATAATTTTTAATACACCAAAATAAGAGTAAAACCTCTAAAATTTACAAGAATGTGAGATTTATGTAAATTAAGTTTCATTATAAATATATATGGATTTCCTTAATCTCTCTGTCAAATAAAATATATTTTACAATGGTAATAACTTGGCAAGCCAAGCTGGCTAGTGTACTTAACAGTTAAGGTGGATTTCAGCTAGGGCCTAGACTAGCTTATCAAGTTTTATTTGAAATGAGCTTAGCATTTAATTGAGAGGCAAGAAACTTCTTTATTTTTTATTATGGTATGTACTTTTAATCAGATTTATTTAAAGTATGGTAAATATTACTAATTAATATGATTTTTTTTAAAGCTGAATAAATCTTGTACTTGACAGAATGCTTTTGTGACCACTGATGCTAATGTAATACAGTACATTGTGTGGATAAATATGTATATTTATCTACTTTGTGGTTCATGTTATTCTCTATTTTGAAAGATTTTATTGATCGTCTCATATTTGTTGCTCACATTCAGTCTTTTGTCCCACTGACTTACAGGAAAACTGCCCGCAATTTCAACCCTCCTATGTGCAAAGCTGGACGTGTGACCATTGCTGAGGTGGAGGAGATTGTGGAGGATGGTGAAATCCCCCAGGAAGATGTACATGTGCCTCACATCTATGTTCAAAGAGTCATTAAGGGAGCCAAGTATGAAAAGAGAATTGAGGTTAGTGGTTAATTGCCATCTCCAATGAAAGCTGAGATGACCCATATTATTAATATAGCGAAAAGTATAACCAATTACAGAGATAGCACAGCCCATGTGACACTTTTTTCCTTATATGGAGGGGCAGAATTTTTTTCACCAACAACAGAGTTTTTTTTGTAGGATGTTGGCAGCAAAAATCTAGGCCCACCTCGGGAGACACTTTCCCTAGCTAAGCCACTGACAGCCAAATTACGCTAGGTAAAATAATATCATAACCCTAAAAAGTCTGTACCATTTTTTAAATCTTGGAATAATTTGTAATTTGTAGTTGTTTTATTGTAGTTTTTTTTTATTCAACTACCTGTATTTATTTTGTTGATAATACAGCGCCTCACATTAACTAAACCACAAACCAAAGATGCACCACCCAATCCTGCTCAATTGATGAGAGAGAGAATTGTGAAAAGAGCAGCTCTGGAATTTAAGGATGGCATGTATGGTATCCTTTTCATGAACACATAAAAAAAACTTCCTGGAAACAGTCTTAATTTAATTGATAATTAAGAAGTCTCCTACTATTCCAGTTAAGAGAGAGAGAAGTGTAACACTGTATGGAAACGTAGTTATTTATTTGTAAAAATTGTCATAATGCTGTGCAAATGCGATAGCTATTTAACTCACTAGATGATTTTATTTATCTTGTTAGTCAATGTAAATTTAGCATCAAACATCAATAGAACTAATAATTTGAACAAGCAAAAAGTAACTTGTTGCCAAAGTGCATTCTGATTGTAACACTGAAAAACAATATGGGTTTAAAAAAATGAGTACAAAAATACACAAAGCCATATCTATTTGTAAGGTAGGTATTCTAAAACTTTTGTTAGTAGGCCCCATTTTTTTAAAAAATGCATGGGAAAACCCATTATTTCAAGAAATTCCTGTTTTGCCCATATACTGATCAAACTTTCTGTGTCCTTTTTGAACTGGTGGGTGCACATAATTTTTGAAACAATGTGTGTAAAAAGACCATAATCCATTTGAGACGTGTTCATTTCTTAACTGACATGTAAGTAAACTTGGGTATTGGTATGCCCATGTTGGCAAGCAACTATATCAAACCAGGCGTCGCTGTTCACCTGCACAGTGAAAATGGTATACTGGGATTGGTGAGTACTCCACTGATACTGTGTTACTACTTTCCTTTTTAACTACGGTACAAAATATGTATCTCCTACACTACAAATTTCATTGAACAAGTAACTTGTTGAATATTTTACTCAACATTATCAGTAACATCAGATCAGCTCCTAAAAACTTAAAGTAACTTATTTATTTATATAAATTATTCAAAGAAAAAATTTAATTATTACCTTTAATTTTAACAAACATTGCACATGGAAATAATTTTTTTTTTTTTAAACAAACGTTACACGACTTATAGGATTGACTTGTGTAATGTTTTCTATAGGGTCCCTTCCCTAAGCCCGGAGAAGAAGATCCTGATCTCATCAATGCTGGCAAAGAGACAGTGACAAGTATTAAAGGCAGCTCTTTCTTTTCATCTGATGAGTCATTTGCAATGATTCGAGGGTATGCTCTGGATTATCTTACAGTGGTTCCCAACCTTTTAACGCCTGGGGCCCTTTTAAGAATCATTTTCTATGGGGGAGCCCCTTAGGCAGACACTCAGTTAATTTGTTACATTTTTACAAGTTAATTTTGTTTCTGTGTTCCCTTGAGCAGCGGTGGAGCATAGGAGAAATGCTTGTGAAGCCTTTAGGGCCTCCTGCGTTGCACAAGTTGGGAACTGGTGATCTAAAACTTCGTATTTCACACCAGATTTATAAAAATGAGTGCGAAAATGATTGTCATTATAACATTTATTAAAATACTGTCATGATAGAATTAACTAATTTTTAATTAATCTTTTTAGTGGACATGTGCAGCTGACAATATTAGGAGCCATGCAGGTGTCTCAGTATGGAGATTTAGCCAACTGGATGATTCCGGTGAGAATTGTTGAATAGTTCTAGACTTTTTGATAGAACATTGCCACCTAATTCTTAATGTCAAGAGCATTAATTTAACAAGATGATAGACACCTTTAGGTCATATTATTGACATTTGTTATAATTAAACATATTGAAATTGACTATTTAAATAATTTTACTTATCAAAGCTAATTTATTTTATTGCGAGTTCAAAATGATTTTGGAAACATGTTGGGGGATGGGGACTGCAGCTGGTGTCACAATTAGAACAGGTGTCCCCTATCACAGTGAACATTTTTAAATGATAAAAGGAATGATTAATTTATTATTGAAATGTTGACTTAACCAATAAGATAACATAGGTCAAGCGTATGGTCTCACTACCCCTAACAATGCCCTTGTTCAAAAGCAAATGATCAAAGTCAGTTTTATTATGGTACTCTTGTTATAACTCTGTACCAAATGATGTTTTCTCTAGGGTAAAATGGTCAAAGGTATGGGTGGAGCCATGGATTTAGTTTCTGGCAGCAGCACAAAGGTCATCATCACAATGGAACACACTGCCAAGGTCAGAAAGTGCATTTTTTAAAGTTACTATTAAATTCAAAATCAATAGTTTTTTTGTATGCTCTTGACTTGACAAGGGCAATACATGTCTTAATCTGAAAATAGTTTTCATTAGAATTTTTTTTTTTTTTTTCAAGTTGATTTGTTTTTAGCCCCTTTCTACATCTGGCTGTGAATGAACCAAGAAATATGATGTGTTGGGGACGATTAGTAATTATATTATGTGCGCACTGGGTGTGAAAATTTGCGAAGTGGGAGTAGTCTTGACTTGGGAGCGTATGGGTGTGCATTGGATGGGGTAGGGGAAGGTGTCTAAATATTTTTAAAGGATTTTAAATAACACCGCCTATGCTCATAATCATGGTGATTGATCGTTATTTTGTGGCTTTGTGGTTTCATAATGAACTCGCTAGAGATAGCAAAAATAATATGAGCATATTTGCCATAGTGAGAAATTAAGTGCTGCTGTGAAAAAGTATTGCACGATTTTGGAAGTTCCTAGGTAACCAGGTCTGCATACTATTTCTTCTCATCTGATAAGTCACAAAATCAATTTATAATTGTGTTAGTCTTCAAAGTTAAATGATTCATATAGATAAATAAAATGTGTTGGATAAATTAACTGGTTTGGGACACTGACTCCCTGACTAAGACTTCAACAAACTCCATAATTTTACATAGCTGCAATATTATTTACTATTGTTAATCAATACAATTCCATTCATCACTTTCACGATTCATTGAAGTTGAAATCTAGATTTGCTTCTTGTATATTTTATTCAAAGGGTGGCAAGCACAAGATTCTCAAGGAATGTAATCTCCCACTTACTGGCAAAGGTTGTGTTGATATGATCATCACAGACTTGGTAAGGGGTCGTAAACATTTTAGCAATGTTATCGTACCAATCTCAGGACTTCGTTCCTAGTTCACACAGTTTTGATTTTTATACTCTTATTGTATCAGGAAAAGTCATAATCTCACCTCACTGTACTGACAAAGGGTGAGATAAGTAAATCATCCACTTTTAGTTGGACCATTCTCTTATCACACACTTCCATTAACAAAAATTTAAAATTCATGTTTTTGTTAAATGCAGGGAGTCTTTGAATTATCTCAAGATAAAGGGCTAACCATGACTGAAATTGGTGATGGTGTGAGCGTTGAAGATGTGAAGAAAGCAACTGGCTGTGAAGTAAATGTAAGTCACCTGATATCTGGTGTTATTTTTTAAAGCTGTAGTTTTATTATTTAAAGCAGTTAAAAGAAAATGAATGTACCACATTCCAAAGTAAGATAATTGTACATTAACCTCTTGACTTTTAAGTACAGGGTCACCTACCCCTTCTCTTCTTTTTTTACTTTCGTTGAACATCTTTGAGGTACAATTCATAACACTATATCTTTTGTAAAATGTGTTACCTATCAAAAATATATTTACGCTAATAAAGGTTTCTATGCTTATTGAATAGTGTACTCAAATTTTATAAATTTCTGTTGAATTTTTTTGATGATTACTGTTATGGCTATCTCGAAGGTTAATTAATGTTTACCTTTGAGGACATCTATTTTATAAAAAATCCTTTTTTTTCCTCCAGGTCTCGCCTAACCTCAGGCCAATGCAGAGTATCTAAAAAGTACTGCCCTGAAAATATGTTGATCCTGTGTAAACTAATATTCCTGATGCAAGCAGTTAGCTTAGTGCTGCAAGACTATGACGATGACAGTAACTCTGGCTAAAACTGTTTAAAAACTAAAACATGACTCTTAGTTTTTAAACATATGAAACATGACCCTTAGTTTTTAAACATATGTGTATCAAATATAAGGGACACAGATCCTTGAACAAAAATATTGAATTACTTTAAATGAATATTTTCTCACTGACCATACATTTTAAATTTCAAACTTTGAGAATGATATTAAAAAAAAATTTCTGATTAAAACAAACATTTTTTAAATGTAATTTTGTAGACATTAATGTGAGGCACAAAATTTTGGCACAATGTTTCTACAAAAAATTGATATTTTGATGATCAAAAAATGCAATTTTTTATTTTTATTTAAGCTGTTTTGCTTTCAATAAAAAATTTGTTTCAGTTTCATGTCAAAATCAATGAAAGATAATTACTGTGTTTCAATTCATTGTTCAAACTGAGTAAATTATTCCTCGCCCAGTCAAATCCAACAAGTGTTTAATGTTACAAATATTTTAAAAGATAGCTCATTCCTACTATCAGGAGGTTTGTGATATTTTTATTAGGGTTTTCTATTATGTATAAATTAAATTTAATAAGTGAGCTTTTCCATGTCGAAATTGAAGTGACAGTTTATTGGCTGGGTTGATTTTTATGTTTGTTGATTTTATAACATAAAATTTTTAAAAGTGATGTTTTTTTTGTTGGTTGGCATGTTTATATGCAAACAAACTTTTAGGAATGCAGTGTGTGCTCTGATTAACTTGTAAAATGCAATAAGTTCAAATGTATAAAATTATTTATATAATAAGATTTTTAGATGTTAAATAAATGACCAGTGAATCTAAGACTAAGAATATTACTTAACATTTTATGAATGAACATGATTTTTTTTTTTTAAGTTGTTAATGAATGCCCTTGTTACAAAAGTTATTGGAAACATGTTTTCTTGTTTAATTAATCTAAATAAAATTTCCAAGCTTTGTGATTGAGAGTGGATACATTTGATAAACTTAATTAACTAACTTACTGGTTTGAATGTAGTCTGTATTCCTTAAAATTTCAGCATTTTTTGTTTTGTTTTACAACCATGCAAGACATTTTCCCTAGCTATAGAGTGATTGTGATGAAAGAGCCAAGTACTCACTCCCATCACACTGGTAGTTCCACAAGTCTTGCCATAGCTGTTACCTTTATATCATTGTTTTGACAGTGAGAAGAGGTTAGAAGTGAATTGTCATCATGGGAATGAAACATGTTTACAGTGGTTCTTGGTCCTTTTGATTTCATAGATCATGCTTTATATTATCCCTGTGACACCATAACTTAAAATACATTTTGATACTTTTTTTTCCCCCATAACGTATTGTATCTCATAGATAGTCTAATAAATTGATGGTACTAGTACTAGTAATATATCTCATAGAATTTGTATCTCATAGTAAAATAACAAATTTGATAGTCATGGTAATGTATCTCATAGTCAAATAGGAAATTGATGGTCATAGTATTGGATACCATAGTTGGTCTAATAACAAATTGATGGCCTTATGTTATCAATCTACATCACCAGTTCAGTTAGAGTGTTTCTCAGCTCTCTACCATTGCTACTTAGTTAATCAAATGTCAGAAGGATTTCTTATATATAAATGTATAATAGAAAAAATGACCATGTTTGATAAATTTATAAAGGTGACTTTAAATGCATCTACTTCTCAACTGCATGTACCAGTACTTTAAAAAAAATTTGTCTATGAAAATGTACTTTATGGATGCAGCTCTGCCATATATAGCATAATAATTGCATTGTGTTATGTTCTGATGTATGACTAACTTGAATCACATTTACTTTAACTGAAATAATTTTATTCTTGTGGCCACCGGTGACAGGCAACAATCATGCATTTATGTCGGCAAGTAGTTGCTAGTACTTTCAACCATGTGCTTAGATATATCATCTGTTCAATAAACCACATTACCAAAAACTAAAGCAACTAATGCATGTTCACTACTAAATTTTACATTGTCAAAGGAATCAAAAAATATTTATTCTAGTCTCCAAAACTACTTTAAAGTTTGCTGTATCACCATATTCTGCTGGATAACCATCCTAATCCTAACTTGTTGTGGGTCGAAAATGTTAATGCTTAAACCAATATATTTTGAATGCCGAGTGCAATGTAACATGTTTGAATCTGTAGCCTGGTGATGTTAAACTGCTCACGTGTGCCATGTTTACAATAAACTTGTATAACCAGATCAATTCTTGTTTTGTGTTTTCGTCTCCAGTTTAAAACTTCTAGGCCTAGGTCTCGCGTTAAACTTAAACCTGAACTTGTGCTTTCCCAATAAAATTGTGCTGCATATATAAAGGAATATTTCCACATCACATTTTACTGCAATCGTTTTATGTTAATTAATTTTAAAAGAAAGGAAAAGACACAAGAGTATTTTCTTTAGAATTACATCTTATATATTGAAACGCTCTAAATAATCAATATATATACCCATTGTAAATGTAAATCTTTGGTGCCCCTCAAAAAGTTGTTTAAAGATTATGTGTGTACTAGAAAATAATCCTGCAAAACAATATGTGTATGTATAATTATTTAAAAAATATGTATATATCAATATATTATGTATAGGGCCACTCAAGCTAGGGATGCCAGATAATGCTCTGTAACTAGAAATGGGCTTCATTTATCTGGACATTCATCATAAACAGCTTCATTTATCTGGACATTCATCATAAACAGCTTCATTTATCTGGACATTCATCATAAACAGCTTCATTTATCTGACATTCATCATAAACAGCTTCATTTATCTGGACATTCATCATAAACAGCTTCATTTATCTGGACATTCATCATAAACAGCTTCATTTATCTGTACATTCATCATAAACAGCTTCATTTATCTGGACATTCATCATAAACAGCTTCATTTATCTGGACATTCATCATAAACAGCTTCATTTATCTGGACATTCATCATAAACAGCTTCATTTATCTGTACATTCATCATAAACAGCTTCATTTATCTGGACATTCATCATAAACATTAGTTTCATTTATCATAATTTATGGTATTAAAAATATTTTTTTTTTTTTTATATTTGAATATTTGAACGTTTTGTTCAACAGACTCTAGGCATGCATTGCTTGAGTACTTAAAACTTTAGGCATTAGAAAAAATAAAAGGCTAAAGCTCCCAGACTTTGTTTATACTAGCACTTAAAGAACTTAATTAATTTTTTTTAATAAGGAAAATTAATGGGTGGAAAAAAAGTTACTTATTATTGCTTTACTCGAAACGAACGTTTGCATTTGTCGTGAAATCAATGATAGAAAATTTGCATCAATGGGCTACTTAATACTTAAATACAAAATATACCCATGCAGATACGAATTAAAAATTTCAATAGAAGTACAATAAAATCAGTAACAGATATTGTGGCCATTTCATATATATTTTGGCATTTGGGACATCTCCGTAACTTACATTCCACCCTTCTAAAGGCATCAAAGCGTATCAGGTTGGAAATATCTTCACGAGGTTAATTTATCTTAACTATTTTAATAGTATTTGGACTTAAGAGCACATGGATGGATGGATAATATTGGAAAAGATCTACAGCAGCTGGGAGTCCAGGAATGGAAATAAAAAGCACTAGTTAGATCTGAGTGGAAGGAAGTAGTGAGGCAGGCCAAAATTCTACTTGGGCTGTAGCGCCGCAGGGCTCTCTCTCTCTCTTGCACAGCAACATTAGGAAATAGCGCTTAAGCCTCTGCACGTCATTCATAAAATTGTACAATGACTTTCAATACCTTTATCTCATTTAACCTAAAAAGTTTTTACCCAAGATTTATCCTCAAAAGTAGCAATTCTCTAAACCTACTCACGTGTCAGAACTGTCAACAGCCTTTCTGGTTTCTTCTCGCTGTGCACCATTTAAACGGATCTTAAACCTGAGTAGAGATTCACTTTAAAGGTGTTCAATATCATTTAAGATTTTCTTTCTACTACTCACATTTCCGTCTGGTTTTTTTTTTTTTTATTGACACCCGTGACTTTATCGCCCAGCTTATCGTGCTTCGCTCAGCGAATAGCAGGAGAGGGGTGAGTAGGGGAACGAGCGAGCTCCGGTTTGCTGAGTTAGAGGGAGAGGGGTGGAGTGGTTTGAGAGATGGGGAGATCACTCGTTACCCTCTCACCTTAACCGCGTGGTTGAAATAGAATGTGTGTGAAAACGAATATTAGAAATTCGATAATATATGGATTAAAATTTTAATGCTAACAAGAAAATAAATTTTTTTTTTTTTTAAAATTGACTTTCTACCAAAGACGAGTTTAAACGCAATGAAAAGTAGGAAATAATTTTTTTTAATTTCTTATAATGCATTGCGAAAAGAAAGTATGTGCAGAAAATATTTTCAACAATTATTATTTTTTTTTTATGAAACATATAAGTTTCATTTTGACATTCCATTTGAGTCCTTGGGCTAAACAGAATGCTCATCTACACTTCTGCACAGTATTTCTTTGTACATCGCTGTCGATATCACACATGGTTGGGCTGATAGTTAATATAAAAGATTTAATCATTCTAAAACAAAAGAGTGTTTGCATTTACGCACATGGGAGAAATTCTTGAGGAGGGTTTCGAAAGCTCATCTGTAACTCAGTGATGTTAAACTAAAAACGATTGTTGATTTTCCTAAGCCAGTTATCATGATATAAAGGAAAGAAGCAGACAAAAATCAAGAAAAGAGAATAATATTATTTAATAAACAAAAAGATTTTTTTCATAAACTAAAGAGGCTGTACAATGCAGAGGATTGGTGTGAAAAGTGGTCGCTTTTTCTTGCAAATGTTTATCTTCGATGGATATTAACAAGTTGTCAGATCACTGTCTCTCATAATATTGCCTGCTGCAACCCACCCCCAAATTAAGGGAAACTAAAATGTAAAGATTATGTACAACGTTAAAAATAAGTTTTTTGAAGCATATGAGGTGGACCCAAAATGCCCCCCCCCCCAGAAAAAAGGTATCCCTGGGTGAACTCCCCTATCCACCCCCTCTCTACGCCCATGCATCGTATTTTCTAATAAAATATGACGCTCTCACATGGCTGTGAGTAAATGTTTATAGTTCATTGCAAGTAATGGTCAAGTTCTGGGGGTGGGGGTGGAGGAAAGTGTAGAAACTCCCCCAAGACACTCCCCCAACCCCCTCCCCTAATATATGTAAGGTATATATTCCTTCGCAAAAAAGTACAGGAACACCGTTCTAGTACACTCCTGCGGGGCTCAAGCCTTGACTGTAAAAACTAAAATGCGGTTTAAACCCGGTTTTCCAAAAGAGAAAGCTTTTAGCAACGCTTATTTGTAAAACGCAGAGAGGTAAAAAAAAAAAAAGGGGGTGGGTGGGGGTCCCCGAGAAATTTACTTGGAAAAGGGGGTAGAAATTTACTTGGAACAGGGGGTCAAAATTTAACTCTTTTTGCGTTATCATCTCTTACATATATATATATAAGATATGTATTTTGTTTCTGGTGTGCTTGCTTATATGGAATGCCAAATCTAATCAGGAGTCAAGGTTCTCCTGCGGGAAATGCAGCCGAGACTGCCATTCCAGGATTGGCTTAGTGGGCCATTTGATGAAGTTTAGGTAAGCCTATAGCTACTCCATCTTCTCGCGAAGACGAAAGGATGCCATATATACATATATTGTTATGGCGTAAGTGGAGAACAGCAGAGTACATCCCTATCTCCCTTATTTTTATTTATATCTCGCCACCAATGATTTGAATTATCTTGCTCCAATGACCTGCAACTCCCTCCCCATCTCCCTTGATTGGGAAAGTTTGATTGTACGATTTCCAGAAGGCTCTACATAGAGGTAGAGCCTACTCTCTGGCGATTGAATGTGTAGACTTTCTCTGACTCACTGACTATAAATACTGGTTGACTGGGACCAGTAGCCGTACCAGAGATACAAGAGACCTACAAAGTCTTGCCAGTTTTTTTCCTACGTCTGTGTGTCTGAGTGTATTAATTTTGTGTGTGTGTTTTTTTTTCTTATAGTAAGTCAATAGTGTTTTTATTTCTATATATTTGATTTTATACTTTTATTTCATAATTTTTCGTATAAATAATACATTGATTACTGTTAATATCACTAGCTTTGGTCTTCAGTCCTATGTCTTTGTTTAAGTATTGTTATTTCAACGAGACAAATTTTAAAACAACGTATTTAATTTGTGAAACCTTTTGACGGTAAGTTTAATACGCCCCTCACAAAATTACGAACTAATGGAAAAAAAAATCTATATTTTTTTTTAAATTGTTATATAACATTGCTCTCTGTACCCGTATAACACAATATAACAAAATGATAACCCTCAATCCCTTTTGCTTTATAATAATAAAAATAATATGGGCACGGACCCTACCTTTATTTCTCATATGCATGAGTCTATGCAGTGACCTTTCCTCAAGCCTTCGTTGAGTGTATGACTCATAAATAAACTCCTTTGATATCGTTATCAGTTTATGATCATATCCGGAAATGATAGTTCATTAATAGATCAATTTGTTTTCTGTTGCACAGCAAAGGCTTTGTGTTTTTTGTTTTTTTTTAACAAACCACGGCATTTTAAGGTCAATTAACATTAACTTAATAAAACATGGACTGTTCGTAATTTACACTGACCATTTCTCTGGGGGGCATCCGCGATAGATTATTCACTGTTTCATTCAGGCATCTCTCGGAGGACGGGGGACCCGGGGGGGGGGGGGGGCGGCGACATTCCCCCTTCAGAAATCCAACTTCCCCCCCCCCCCCCGGGGAAAAATGTGTACAAAAAAAAAAGAAAATTTTTTTAAAAAAAAGAAAACTGTGGGGCATCCGCGATAGATTATTCACTGTTTCATTCAGGCATCTCTCGGAGGACGGGGGACCCGGGGGGGGGGGGACGACGACATTCCCCCTTCAGAAAGTCAACTTCGCCCCACTCCCCCGGAGAAAAATGTGTACAACAATAAAAGGAAATTTTTTTAAAAGAATAGTAACTGGTATGCCCTACATTGAACCCATCAATTCCCACCAATGGTCAAGCACAAACACCACCCTCACCCCGGGTAGATGGGGCTCGTTCACCCTGGACGGCAACTCATCTAAGAGAAGGAAACTCCGAATTCAAAACCCGGAGATGGAGTCCCGTAGGCGGATAACATTGACATTCGAAGTCCTGCGCCGGCACTGGTGTTCCGATCTAAGTACCGTCGATCAAATTACCGTCGACGAAATTTCTTTCGATCAAATTTCCGGATACGGTTGTCGTACACTGGTGACACCCTGCTCTGATCGCAACCTGCGTCGTGTGCATATTTCTGGGCTGCTGACAACAGAGGATAAGTTTAATTTTATTACGCTCTTATTTTCAATGTCAAGAATGAATTGCATCAAAAGAAAACCGGATTTTAAGGATATTGTTAATATTGTTTTCTTTTTTTAAAAAAATAGATTTTCGTTTTTATTACGGCACTTTTAAAAATAATTCTAATGCAGTTGACTCAACTGAGTTACTGTTCTTGAAGAAAGGGGCGGATAAAGCCTTTTGTTTTTCATTGTTATCTTGACTCATTGTGTTGATTAGTCACGACGACGAATAAGCTATCTATAAATAGCCTACATTGAGGAAGAGAAACTGATTGGTTGCAAGATGATATAATAAACGCATAAAATCAACAGCAGCGAGAGAGAGAGAGAGAGAGAGAGAGAGAGAGATAGAGAGAGAGCGAACATAAGCCAGGAAGAGATTCTACAAGTTTTTGAGAAGAACATCATTACATTATTAAGTCAAATAAGCTCAGTGACAAAACAATGCAGTCGTTTATCACAGAGGCAGAGGCTAGTAAAATTGAAAATGAGTTGAATAAAATGAAGACAGATGTTGCTGAATTAAAGAAACTACAGCAACATATGTTTAGTACGCCATTTCCTGATAAAAACAGTGTGGCGAAGTACCAGTCTCTTGGAGAGCAAGTTCGCTTTGATGCAACAAAAATTGGTGGATCTTTAAAAGAGCTGGAGAAAAAATATGAAGGGCGTGACCTTCCTGAAGAGAGTGCTTTTAAACTATTGAGAACTCAACAGCTTAACACTCTCATTGCTGAACTTAACATTTTAACAAATGAATTCTTTAAAATTCAAGCTGATTATATGGATAAAATGAAAAAGCGATTAAGAACTCAGATGAAAGCCCGTGGGGATTCAATTGATGATTCAAAAATAAATTCTCTTCTCGATCAAGATTCATATTCTGTATTTACTGACAATTATATATCTGATGTACATGATGCAGGACAAACCCTTAGGGATCTTGATGAAAGGAAGAAAGACATTCTAGCTCTAGAAAAAAGTGTTGCAGATGTGAACCTCTTATTTAAAGACATGAACTTACTAGTTTCAACACAAGGCGAGACTGTAGATACCACTGAAAGTGCTATAGATAATACAGCCATGCATGTGGCACTTGGCAAAGTTGGCGGTAAAGGATGTTCTGGTTGTAGGGCGCATAGGGTGCATAGAATAAAAATTTGTGTTACGTTTATTGGCATTATAGTGATTATTCTGGCTGTTATTATTACAGTATCTGTTGTAGTATCGAGTTAGAATAACACATTGTGTGCTTTTTACTGCTAATTTTGTTTAATTTTTTCTTATTCATGTATTAAGTCACCAAGTCTGTTTAAATGATTTAAAACATTTGAAATATCTAAAAGATGATTTTTGGTTTATAGGCTACAATAAAATTAAGCGAGACTATATATTTAGTTTCTTCTTCAAAACTTTCAGTTTAACATTTATAAGATTTTAACTGTGTATTATTGGGTAAACGTAAAGAATATTATAATGGGTAAATGCCATTGTCTTGGCATACATCCATCCATCCCTGTGTGTGGCGCTACAGTCCATGTAGGGCTTTGGCCTGCCTCACCACTTCCTTCCACTCAGACCTAACTAATGCCTTTCTTTTCCATGCTTGGACTTTCAGCTCCTGTAGATCTTTTTCCACATCATCTATCCACCTAAGCCTCGGTCTGCCTTTGAGCCTTTTCCCTCTGGGGTATTGGTGATGCACCCTCTTCATTCCTCTGTCATTTGGCATTCTCTCTAGGTGTCTTGCCCAGCGTCGCCTGCCTCTTTTTATTTCTGCTACTATCGTGGGATCCTGATATAGACTGTATAATTCATGGTTGGTTCGTATTCTCCATCCATAATCATCCTTTGTTGGTCCATATATTTTGGGCTATGGGATACCAGTAACTTAATAAATGTTACATTATATTTAAATAAAAAATTGGCAGCTGGCTTCACGTCAGATGTGTTTTAAATTAATATTTATGGATATTGAATTTCGTTGTTGTTACTATGATGCATTTAATTATTTGATTTTAGTTAATAAGTGGTAAAAAAATGTGATTCCTAGCCATAAACAAATTAGTTAGTTTCATATTATCAATCTTAAGATAATATAAAAATGTATCTGAAACACATAATTTATGTATGCCTACTTTTACCTTATAATTTAAAGAAAGTTTTTAAAAAAAACTTTTGATACTTAGCACAGTGTGAAACTATTAAACTCCATTGATCTAAATGTTTGAAGTACCAGCAGCACAAGCAGTACTCTTGCTTTATCACAACCCAAGACGTCAGATGGGGGCAGAGTAATTTCAAATTTTTTTTTTCAATATTAGTTCTTTGCACTTGTTTTAGTTTTCAACAGAAAAACTTTTTTTTGTTGCTGAAAATAAATGAATGTGATCTGTGTAAGAATACAATGTCAAAAATATAAGTAGTATAAGGGGACATCTCTGAGTTATCCACATCTAATCTAACAGAAATTTGTTTTTTAGGTTTATTACTTTTAAAACAAAGTAAATGACTAACTTTTCAACACAAGAATATTTGCTTAATAATTACCTATATATATTGAAATGTTATGAATAATTATATTATATAATTATATAGTATACCTATTGTAAATATAAATTGTTGGTGCTACTCAAAAACTAGTTTAAAATTATGTTTACAGTGAAATGCAGTTGCAATGCATGAACTTCCCGGCTACTACAGTTACTTGACAGTACATGCGTTCAAGTAAGGCACTTCATAAGAATCCCACAAGCGATAACTTCTGGGAATTTTATTGTGTGCACCTACTGAAACCACATCATTACAGTCATACATACATACTTAGAGAATCATTACAGTCATACACACATACCTAGAGAATCATTACAGTCATACACACATACCTAGAGAATTTAGTGTTTTAGGTCACAATTGAGTATATGCATGTGGCAAATCAAACTAAGTTTGACAGATAAGGCTCTTTAAATAGACTCGGGCTTCATTTATATGGACATCATAGACAACAGCACAGCTGGACATTTTTAAAAGGTTTATTTGTGGTGATGCAACTAACTAAGTTTTTGAAAATTTATTCGAAATGCTTTTAAGATTTGTGAGTTAGACTCTGGACTTGAATTGCTTGAGCAGTTGAATGAAACTGTAGGTACTAGAAATAATAAAAGGCTCATGCAGATGTTACAGTTGGAAATAGTACAACTGCACATACCACAATGGGAGATGCTCATGGATTTGTTTATACAGGTAGATAGAAAAATCAATTTTATATGAAAAATTAATTAAATTTAAAAAAAAAAGATCAGTTACCATACTTAATATTGTTTTACTCAAAGTAAAATTTGGCATTTGTCAGTGAAATATAACAAACTTTGGCATTTGTCAGTGAAATATAACAAACTTTGCATTTGTCAGTGAAATATAACAAACTTTGGCATATTTCAGTGAAATCAAACAAACTTTGGCATATGTCAGTGAAATCAAAGACTGAAAATTTAAATAAATGGACTAATTAATGCTTTAAACAAAATGGCAGATATGAATGAAAATTTACACTAGAAATATAATGAAATCAGTGTTGGATGTTGTGGAAATTCATTCTTACCTAAATATGGCATTTGGGAATCTCCATTGCTTATATACCACCCGTCTTATGGCATTTGGGACATCTCTATAGCTTATATACCACCCGTCTTATGGCATTTAGGACATCTCCATAGCTTATATACCACCCGTCTTATGGCATTTGGGACATCTCTATAGCTTATGTTGAAAATATCTTCAATTGGGTAATTTAAATATTTATCTCTAATTCTTTAAATGTTCTTTGGACTCAAAAGCACATGTTCATGCATTAAAAAGGACTAAGAACCCCCAAATTTTGAGACCAGGTACAGTCATAATTGTGAGATACATGGAATGAACTTGTTATAGCCAGTGTGTTTACATGGTGAGATACATGGAATGAACTTGTTATAGCCGGTGTGTTTTCATACCTTTTTGTTCACCACAAGCCGTGGCATTCAACTTTAAATCCCCTCCCACTTTTTTTAGTTTGATATTGAAGTCACAGATTAAATGTGTAGCGCCAATCCTATTGACACCTCTCCCTTGCTTGGGAAAAAGGTTGTTTAAGTGTGAATACACTCTAATATGTTTTAAAAATGCAATTTCTAGAATTTCTTTTCGGGAGGGTTCCAAATTTTATCCCGATGGGACACCGCAACCATCTGAAGAAACAGAGGTTTTTGCCTTTGTTTATCTTTTTCACCTAAAAACAGTAACAGTATTTTGACAAGTACAAAGAGACATCACAATATACACTGTAATCTTTTTTTTAAAAGCAAAAGTAGTGTCCGTCACTTCGGTTTTCTCTTTATTGTTAGTAAACTGAATGAGTCTTGTCAGTCAAATGTGTATTAAATAACAGCCTTGTCTGGGGAATAATATTTGTGTGTTAAAAGAATGATCCAAATCTTAAAACAGATTAAGTTTACAAAAACCATATAACAGTTCATATCAAAATGAACAATATTGCAGAGATAGACAAATCTTATATTGTGAAACCATTTTTATTATAGACCATAGAATTTAGAAACATGTATATATAATAATTTGATATTTTAAGATATCTTCAAGTTGTCATTCATGATCAATAAATTATTTTTGAAATTAAAAAAACTTAAGTTGAATTTAAATGCCAACAAAGAATGGAAAGTCTCCCTTAAAGTTAAAGAGCAGCATTAGGGAGTAACTTTTAAGCCTTAGTACATCATTCATCATGTTTGTCCAACATAACATTGTACAAAGACTTTATAATCCCACTATCATATTCAACCCAAAAGGTATTCACATAAAAGATTACTCTCAAGGGCATCAACTCTGTGTCAGACATGGTCAACAGCAGCCTTTCTTGTTTCCTCTTTCTGTGCAATATTCAAATGGATCTTTCTCCTGTGTGGAAATTGACATTAAAAAAATGTTCATTATCCTTCATTACAAAAAAACTGTTCAGCTTTGATATGGATAACATTAGAAAACATCAAAACAGATAACATATCATTTTTAACATTTAAAGTTTAGAAGGGATCACTAACACACAGAGATGCTGCACATTTACAGATATAAATTTGTGTGTGATTGTGTGTGATTTTAATTTGTATAAAAACGGGGTTCCATTGCACCACTGCTAATAACTACTAAGACTTTTTGCCTATGCATATTATCTACCAGTCTGCAGTGATCTAAAGCTCCATTTGTCAGATGTCTCAAGTTTCATAAGATTTGCTATCATTGTTAATGACCAGTAAAACCCGTGACCACAATACACATGGGCCAACATGATTTCAGATTCTAGACTGTACACCTCTGATTTAGTTTTCCAAAGATACTCATAAAAACACACCCCAAAAAAATAATTTCAATTTTTACAAAAACTTCATATGTACAAAGGTGTAGCTGTGCTAAAAGAAATTTGATAATATTCTTGCCTTTGAATATTTTTCAATAGTCAGAGAGAAATAGACATGTGATGTCAGACATTAAGACTTGTATAAAATACTAGGACACTGATGTAAAAAAACAGTCAGGTTTCCAAAACCCATCTGAAACTTTTGGACTCTGTACGCTCATATAAAAAGTCTCTTCATTAATACACACGTGACTTGACGCATAGAAAAATTACCAGTTTAGCACACTTGCATGGGCCGCTTTCCCCTTCAGCTATGGTGAAATATTTGCTGTAACGTGAGTTTGTCAAAATGCTTGCAAGCTCAGGTTTGACATGACATTCTTCACCCTTCTGAAATTGCAAAGCAAACAGCAACAAACACCATAATGTACAGTTCATCTATATAAAATTTAGATGATTGATCTGTACTGTGGATCTATTTAATCATTCTAACTGGACAGTTCATCTATTTCAACATGGAACAATTTTGTGTTTGCAAGATTTAATTAAGCTCATAAAAGTATTAAATCTATGAAATCCTATTTCAACATTTTTTTTCATACCGCACTCAAAATGATTGACATACAATAATGTGCTCACCTTGAAAGTAATGCTATAGTCAAAAGCAAAAGCTTCTTCATGTCCTTGAATACCCCCATTGTAGACCACGGTGGATGTAGCACATGGTTGAGCTGGTAGTTTAAATAGGCTGTAGGTCACTGACACAAAGTGGGCATCGCCTAAGAATTCAAAGTACTGGTACTATTAAATATAAAAATAGCTAAACCTTTTTTCCAGCCACAATTTAAAAAATAAAAAAATTATGATTTTCAATCAATCCACATACGATCCACATCCGTTTGTTTTTGCATCTTTACTTAATCTAAATCTATTCTCAATCCAGCAATTCTATTTTTTACTATAGTCCTTAGAAATTATAAATCCTTAAACTTCTGTAGATATTAAAAAATTTATTGCGTTCAACTTCTACGTTAGAGAGTTGCTGTCAAAGTGTCAACAAGTTTGTTTTGAGCTTTATTCCAAATTGAATCCTATAACTGCAGGTAGCATTTATAGAAACACAACAAAATTTTTAGATCTAATTGTAGAATGATTTTTAGTAAATTTATCGTTAAATAAATATAAGCCATTCCTTAAGTTTTATAATTTAGGGCACAACTGACAACATTAGGCCAAGACAACAAAGAGCATGTGTGAAAATAAATCAAACCTAAGAAATCTTTGTATTCTTTGTCTTCTATTGAGAACAGCCCGGCAGTGACCAGGCGAGGTGTAGAGAAGCCAATCTCCTTGGCCAGCTTGTACAAGTCTTTCCAATACAAGGCACCGACAACACACTCACCTGTCAAATAGTTTCAGTTACAGTTACAGACACATGAGCTAATAACTAGAATGACTCAACAGGATTAAGGAAACAGGATATTTTTTAAGTATGATTTTTTTTAAACTGGATTTCAATATTGATTAGAAAAATTAATTTCAAATTGAATACACATTAATTATTTTGAAAAGTTATATATTATAAGCCAATTTAGC